TTGTCTGACGCTTAGCAAGACGTGATATGTCTCGACGAATCTGCCTCTGAGTGGCACATCTATGCTAACGCCAAGAATGTTGCCATGGTTCAGCGCGTGTGGGTCGGGATCTTTGACTTTGTATGCAGTAACGCCAGCACAGGCGCGATAGGTGTTCTCGAGGATGCGTTTCGACTGCTGTGTGATGATTGGACTCGTATCGTCGGCAGGCTTGTTGTGTGTACCGCTACTATGGAGACGCGCAGCGAGGTGGGGTTGCGACAAGAGGACGGAAGATAGGTTCGCGCGGTGGGCTTTCAAAGTGGCTATCCGGGTATGCAGGTCGCTGATTTCGTCGTCGAGTTGCTCAGTAGTCTCCATTGTGTAGTCGTCTGCCGCAGTGAAAGCGCATCGGTGTTGGTGTTGGAACGCGTGGGCGGGCAAGATGAACGCGCTAACACGTGAATAAGCGTCGGGCAGGGGGGTGGGGGTTAGTGCTCCGCCCTCGTCGCGAGCTTGAGACTAGAGGACACGGTTCCGTCCAGACGTTCAGGGCCCGCGGCCATCATCGCTGCATAATCATAGACTGGTGCCCGCGTTGTACTAACCCGGCTGTTTCTTAACACGTTTCTTGCCCTTCACTAGTCGCTCTCTAAACAACCGTCACAGCACAAAGTTCGCGTCTTCCTCTCGCCATCCCCTGTCCCTGCCATCGCCCAACCTTGTCCAAACTACACCACCGAGTTCCCACCCCATCCGCCACATCCCACCGACGCACCCAAATGAGCAAACGAGCCTCGCGATCCAAGAACCGCGGCTCTGTACTACGTGAGCAGAGCTCGACCGACTCGTTGCAAGAAAAGAAGAAGAACGGCAATGCAAATTCTACTGCTATGAACAGCGTCATGTTGGAACATCGGCGCAAACACTCGTCCTTCGACAGCACGTCGCCCTCGAGCCAAGCTGCATCCCTCATGGGCAACTCCAACTTCTCCCTAGACGATGAAGTGCCCAAGCTGGGCCACGACGAGGACGGGCCTTCCAAGGGCTTCTTTGAGCTTTCCAAGAAGGACCAGAGCAACTTTCTCCTCCTGGTACTGCTCTACTTCCTCCAAGGCATACCCATGGGGCTGGCCCACGGCTCTGTGCCCTTCCTTCTCAAGCACAACGTATCCTACGCCGCCATTGGCGTCTTCTCGCTCGCTGCCTATCCCTACTCGCTCAAGCTTCTCTGGAGTCCCATAGTGGATGCGGTATGGTCGCCCAAGGTCGGACGCCGGAAGAGTTGGATCTTGCCTATCCAGACCATCTCCGGTTTCTCCATGATTTGGCTAGGGAGGAACATCAATCGCATGATGAAGGAGGCGGGCGAGACAGACAGTGGAGTTTGGACTTTTACCTGGTGGTGGTTCGCGCTCGTGTTCCTCTGCGCTACGCAGGACATCGCTGTGGATGGTAAGGCGCCACATACTCCCCATATTGACTTGCTCCAGGCTAACAACAAGCAGGTTGGGCGCTTACTCTTCTCTCCAAAGAGAACCTCGCATACGCCTCCACAGCGCAAACTGTTGGCCTGACCGCAGGCCAGTTCCTCTCCTACACCGTCTTCCTAGCCTTCAATTCCAAAGACTTTGCGAACAAGTGGTTCCGTAGCACTCCTGCAGAAACTGGTATCATGGAGCTTGATGGCTACTTGAGTTTCTGGGGATGGGCATACTTGATAGTCACTCTTGGATTGGCAGTCATGAAACGCGAAGACCGCGATAAGAACGGCGATGGCATTGGAGAGGTTTACCGCACCATGTGGGGCATCTTAAAACTGAAGAACATCCAGAGCTTCATCATCATTCACCTCATCGCCAAGATTGGATTCCAAGCCAACGATGCTGTTACGAGCCTGAAGCTTTTGGATAAGGGCCTCAAGCAGGAGCAGCTTTCCCTCGTTATCCTCGTCGACTTCCCTGTCGAGGTCTTCCTGGGTTACTACATCGGAAAGTGGTGTCAAACTTACCCGCCTATGCACATCTGGTGTTGGTCCTTCATGGGACGTCTGGTTGCTGCTGGGTTCGCGCAATTTGTGGTGTCCGTATTCCCGGTCGGAGGAGCCTCGACTGGGTTCCTGCTGCTGGTCATTGCTGAGCATGTGCTTTCAACCTTCATGAATACAGTCATGTTCGTTGCGGTCAGCGCGTTCCACGCAAAGATCTCAGACCCGCTTATTGGCGGTACTTATATGACGCTTCTCGCTACGTAAGTTTCCTTCTTTCACAATTTACCTATATGTCGCTAACGTCAATGCAGTGTCTCCAATCTCGGCGGCACATTCCCACGCTACTTCGTTCTTAAAGCCGTCGACATGTTCACGTCGGCAACCTGCATACCGCCTACAGACATTCCAAAAGCAGACCTCTTGAAAGGACCACTCATTACACAAGCATTCTCTTGTTCTCTAGAGGCAGAGAAGCATCGATGCCAGCAAGGTGGTGGTATCTGCAGCGTTACAACAGATGGGTACTACATTGTGAACATTTTATGTATTGTGATCGGTGTAGTGACGTTCTGGGGCTACATCAAGCCAGCGGTTATGCGGATACAGGCGTTGCCACTGAGGGCATGGAGAATTGCCGGGTAGATGGACGGCTCACGGATTGTACGATATAGATGCATAGTTCAATGTTAGATAAAGGCGTAGTGTAAAGCTATAGGCCATTGCTTAAAATTATTTTGGACACAACTCTATGCGACTACCAGCACCATGCCGCTTGTGCACGTCTGTGCCGCGCTGGCGCGCTCTCCCGTGACCAGGCGTGCTGATCGGCCTATAGTGGGCGGCCTTATGCACCTGCGTAAGCCACGCCGTCTCGAGCGCCGCATGCAGGTACGTTTGCGGCACAGCAAATGTCTCACGCCGCTCAAGGTAGTATCATCAACATACACAAGCGTTTGCTGGTGGACCGCCGATAGCAACTGGGTGGTGGCGCGTCGAGATTATTGGATGAAAGAGAGTTAGCGGCGCGCAGCTGTTAGTGATGAGATAACCTGGGACTGTTCTGTAAGCAGGCCAAGTCTCGACTTGACATGCCGAAGACGCCGATTAACAGGGACTTCGGAGTGACTACAGCACGTCAGGCCACGCGCAATGGCTGCGGCCCGGTAGACTAGCAAAGCTTTAAAGAATCTTGTGTCCGCGCCTGCTCCGACAGTCACACAAATTCCCGAAGTCGCCGAAGACACGCTGTGCCAGCTAGAGTGGCATACCTCGGAAACGTGCACAAGGCGTTGACGCTTACCTTCCTACGGCTAGTCACCCTCGACATCGCGTTTTGACATCTGTCGCAAATTATCTGCTGATCTTGAGTACTCTTTTACCTTTGTTCTTATTCGCCTGACCTGTCGCGCTCGTCTCCAACTGTCGCAGCATAAATCCGCCTAGTCTGATACCTTGATCGACGTCCGACCTTACACCAGTCCCCCAATCTCTACAGCAGCCGTTTAACTTCAAAGGGTCCAGCCAAACCTTACCCACGCCAATCCTACCGAAGTGTAGCATTGATAACGAGTCCTGCGAGATCGGACCTTCTATCCTTTTAGAGTGTTGACACAACCAAAACCTCCGACACTGTGTCGCATCGTCCGTCCATAGAGTACGAACAATCGCAATGGCTTTTCCAGCATACACACCCAAGGCGCGGGTCCAGAAGCCCGCTCCTCACTTCTCCGGCACCGCGGTTGTCGACGGCACATTCGAAGGTATGCGCTCATCTCACTATCCTACACTTTCTCCATTCATGTACCTATCCAACCACACACCAGTCAGACCAACGAACTGACAACTCTCACGCAGACCTCAGCTTAACAGCCTACACATCCACCAAGCAATGGCTTGTTCTCGGTTTCGTTCCCATGGCCTGGACCTTTGTCTGTCCAACCGAGATTATCGCCTTTAGTGAACGCGCTTCCGATTTCGCAGCCCGTGGCGCCAGCGTCGTCTTCTCCAGCACAGACAGCGAGTATAGTTTGCTCGCTTGGACGAATGCGAGCAAGAAAGACGGAGGCCTGGGCAAGATCAACATCCCATTGTTGAGCGATAAGAACCATAGTATTGCCAAGGACTATGGTGTCCTGATTGAAGAGGAGGGTATTGCGTTACGAGGGCTGTTCTTGATCGACCCTAATGGCATCGTACGACAGATCACTATCAACGATCTTCCTGTTGGAAGGTCGGTCGACGAGACGCTTCGCCTGATTGATGCCTTCCAATTCACTGACAAATACGGCGAGGTACGAATCATTTCTAGGCCCCTTAGTCTTTGCAAGCATACTGACGTTTATTAATTAGGTCTGCCCCGCTAACTGGAACCCTGGTGACGAAACCATCAAAGCGACACCCGCAGGCAACAAGGAGTACCTTGACAAGCTCCATGCCGACACCAAGATGTCGGACGTTGCTACAAAGACAAATGGTACAACTTCCTCGGCGCATTGAAAGTGAACGGCCAGGTGTCAATATGGTGAGCATAGCGCGCTGATCTTCCTTTTCGCAGGGACTTCTTGAATTGTAGATATCTTGCCTTGCATTGGTCGTGCGATATTAGCATATGCATCTCATCCGTCCGAAACCATTTGCATTGGTTGGCGTTGTTCTGGCGCAGCCGTGTTGTCTCTCTAATTGCGGTCCCCCAGCTCAACTACGCGCATCATACCACTAGATTCCTCTCTATAGAATGTTAAGTTTACAAATCATTGCAACCCTGAAACCAGTCATGTCATGTACAGCGAATGCTTTGTCACGCTGATGCGATGAGCGTAAACGGAAGATGAAGAATCCAATGATCAGAAAAAAGCTTTCGGAATGACTCCAACAAAGCTCCAAGACCTCCGCACTGGTGTTTTTGATTGCGACGCAACATGCTACGGCAGCTGAGTGGATGCGCGTTAGCTTCTGCTTGGCAGATCGGAAGCCACGCGAACGCCACGGACTTGTACCTCTTTCGACATAGCCCACGAGAGGGCCTCCAATCATGGAGCCACGACTGCATGCGCTACGGGATATGTCGAGCCAGAGTAGCATGCCGTTCATTACAGAGGCACCGAACATGAGCTCCTCTGGCTCGCAAAGACCATCGCACCATCCTGATCATAGCTTCGTACGCCCAAAATCGCTCATGCTGGCGAACACCTCTCCAGAAAACGCTCAGTTGAACGACGTCCGAAGAGACGGCCAAGAGAGGTCACATCCCACACGGTCGATGCCTAGTGCACCGATCGCACAGGTATTGAATAACGAGGCGAATGTGCTTGGGGCTGCACAGCCCGTACCATCGACATTTGCCTCATCAACGACGCCCTTCAGTGGAAGACTAGTTGACTTGCTTTTGGATAGTCCGGACCATGCGAGGCAAAAGTGGGATCATGAACACCAGTTTCTTCAGCCTGAAAATGCAGGAAGCAGTCCATCTGTCATCAAACTACCGAGGTTACCGCAACCTCCTAAGAGGACGGCAAAACGACCCAGAATTCCGCCATTGCTACAGGGCTTGCATCAGCCTCCTCCGCTCCCGCCTGAGGGCAGACTTTTCCCACCGATTACTGGGGAAAAGAATGCATTTGCAGGTGAGAGAGGTTATGATGCGCGTTTCGAAGAGTCAAGGAACAAGGACGTGGACGAACACGCTTTTCTCGAAGGCAGTGCGTTGGACTATAGCAGAACTACCCAAAACTCTGATCACCCATTAGTTTCTCAACTGGCCGCCCAGCCTAACGCACCAGACGTGGCCCATGAGACCAATGTAGCAACCAACAATACCATAAGCACCCAGGCACCGCCCCAGACCAAGCGTGGGAAGAAACGCAACAAATGGTCTGAGCAAGAGACCAAAGACTTGCTTGTAGGCGTCAGCAGGTATGGTATAGGGAATTGGAAAAAGATATTGCAGGATCCAGACTTTGGATTTAACAATCGCACGGCCGTTGATCTCAAAGACCGTTTCCGAGTGTGCTGCCCGGGTGAAGGTCTAAAGCCACGGCAGCCTAAGACGAAAGGAAAAGAGAAAGTGGACTTGGAAAACACAGCCTTTGATCTACCAAACCAAGCTATATATACCCACCAGCACTCTCTTCCTGTCGGAGAACACAACAACGACAATAACCTAGTTTCAAATCCTCCCAGTCCATCAGAAACTCAACAACGCGTGGCAACTCGTAACAAGACCACGACGCATCTAGACCTAGCCGAGCTTGGAATCCACGAACCATTCTCAAAAGCCACACGTCGACCACGCCGAGCCTTTAGCGCACGCGACGATGTCAATCTGCTGAAGGGCTTTGAAAAGTACGGATCTGTTTGGCATCTGATGCGTGACGATGAGGATCTGGATTTTGGTTCTCGGCACCCCACAGACTTGCGCGATCGTTTCAGAATCCGGTATCCGGACAAGTATGCCAAAGCAGGATACAAACTCAAAGCGAAAGAGAAGGAACGTACATTATCAAAACAGACGCATGTCCCAGAGCAAGAGCGACAAGATGGTCCGTCGCAGTTGGAGCAGGCTATTTTGGATCACAACACTCCACAGCACGCCAAAACAAGTCATACGCAACAAGAAATGACTACTGCAGCCAAAGATATGCACCCTTTCCACAACGTATCAAACACAAACACGTCATCTCATTTCGCTACTTCCAGCAGCAACACCAGTAATCCAAACTCAGCTTTGAAACACTTCAATTCATCATCCTACCTCTCCGACCCCCTCCCCACACTCCCCTTTGACGAAGCGGATCCCGATCTCACACAAGACATGGCCACCGCAGGCGACGAGAGCCCTATAACACTGAGTCGAAATATCCTCCGGTGGGCCGATGCGAATCCCTCTTCGCTCTATGCTTTCACACCTGCTGTTTCTTCTTCATCATCGTTGACGACGGCTGGGAATGTACATGGTGGTGGGCATGGCAATAAGGGGGAGGGAGGGGCTGGTGCGGGGTTGAGTGGGTATGTGGGGGGTGCGGGAGGTCAGCAGCAGCAGATGGAGGGAGGGAGGGGGACGGTGTTGCCTGAGGCGGATAGTTGGCTTTTGGGCGGTGAGAGGGTCCAGGCGTTTGGGATGTATAGATATCGGTCTTGATGTAGGCTCAGGTTGTTTGCGGTAGTGTAGGTTAGAGGCGGAGTGATTGTGTGCCTCTGGCGTCTTTGCGACATGGACATTGAGCAATTTATGTCAGGGATGAAGCGTGTTGTGCATGGACTCTTGTGCTTGTAAAGGCTGTTACTTTAGGTATGGTTAGGACTGTTGATGTTTGTAGTCATGGAACGAGGCTGCTGAAACATAACATTATGGCTAATGACTGTAATGAATACGGATAATGTTCATGAGAATATGAGAGCTGGAATTGCCATTTGCTACCTCCAGATATGAAAAGTCTAACTAAGAAGCCTCTCTCCTCTCATAACCCAAATTGCACAACGAAAGAAAATGATCTTGTATATACCAAAAAGAGCAAGCTAGAGAGCTAATAGCACAACAAAAATCTCACCCCAGGCTATCTTGTCCTGTCATTACCTCTTTGTGAAGAGGTATCCCGCCGGTAATTTTCAACTTCCTGATGAGTCTCACCAGAATAGCCGATGTACAGCTTATGCAATCCAAAAGTCTCTCGTCTCGTAGGTCGGCGAGCTTTGAAGCCATTGCTCAAAGACTCCGGCTTCTTCTTCTGACTCGAATGATGGCTGCCATAGACCAACTCGCTCCCAGTTTGTCCCTACTTTGGATACAAGAAGCATTGAGAATACGTTATGCACATATTTATTTCCGTACGGCTCGAACATCTCGTCGGCAGAAAATAGGTATATGGCATGACAGGTTCTCATTCCTCCGGAGTCACGGATGTCCAGTGCTAGGTTTTTGAACAGGGTGTCAATAAGCGGTCCTACAGACCAGTAGCCATCGTTCTCACTTCGCTCTACGAATCCAAGATGGCCATCTGTTGTGTGATTGAGAAACACCAAGTGAGATTCTTGTACCATAAGCCTGATTTTTATGGAGGGTGCTGAGAGATGTATCCGCTGAGAGTAATGCTGTCGCTGAGTTGATGCCGGACTAGCTTTTTCAAAAGTCTTCCAATCCTCTACAAGCCCGTTGTGCTTCTCAACATGAATCACTAGACCATTAGCAACGACCAGCTCCGTATCAAGCTGTCTCCGTAGCCTGTAATCTACATATGGATTGTGCAACCATCCGGCCCAAGACCAGCTAGGAAAGCCTGACCGACGATGGATTTTTTCATTTTGGATTGGTTGGCACCAACATAACCCGATGAGAAGTCCGTTCAGATACCCAGATGCGTCGATTACTAAGGGTATGCCCCAATGTGATCTGGTGGGTGGCTCTTGTTGGTCGAAGTCCGCCAAAATGCCATCGAATGCGTTGAGGATATCCTGATCGTGAGTGAGTACTCTTGTAGAGTACTTCTCTATCAGATTGTAAATATCGTGTCCATTTGAATCCTGTTGCCACTTCTCTAACGACTGAAGATAAGGAATTTGGGAATGCTGTAGATCCTCGCTGATGACACCTCTGTCGCAATCGAATAGAACTTGTTCGTCGGTGAAGATGAGTCTTCGCTGAGAGAAATAGCTCTCCTGCAACGTCCATCCACGATCGTTCCATCCGCCAGTGTAAAGTACAGAACCCCATGGCCAAACAGAAAATGTCATCAGGTTGAGCTTGTCGTATCGACCTTTTATTTGCATATTTGCACGTGGAGTTGAAACGCCAACGAGCCCAGAGCTGGCGTCCATGCTTCCGCCTGCTATGATTGTGATTTGAGCAGACCGATATATGAGATGCATTTGGCGAATCTGGTGCTTGAAATCGGATCCATCTGCCTGAAGGATGCAGTATTTATCGACCCATAGATATTGGAAGCCGAGGCTCCGAGTTACTAGAATGGCGTCCTCTATTGTGGCAGGTAACTTTGCTGGCAGCATGTCCGTCTGGCGTTCCTCAACTGTCCTGTGGGTTTCACCCCAGCAATAGCTCAATGCAACATAAGGACTGTCGGAAGGAGGCGTGACGATCGATCGTGTGAAACAGTCAATCACTCGTAGTCGGCTTGGTCGGTTACTTGATGTTTTTTCCCGCTGTAAGCAAGAAGCATGATATTCCAAACACTCTTGTAGTCTTTGTTCCATGCGGTTGAGATCAAGCCAGGTCGGGATCTCATTCACTTCCAACAAGGATGGTAGAAAGCGTGCTGCTTTGATATCCGTGGTCATACCGAAAGAAACAACGTCCTCGGGACTGCCAAATAAATGAACTTCGGGCCCTCTATCAGGGGTATCAAAAACGATGTTAACATGTGAACATAGTTTTGTTGAATGTCTAAACTTCTTGTGATCTCTGTAAGAGCCTGTCCCAGGGTCAAGTTGGAGATACCGTGGACGTTTTGAGATATTTCGCGACAACAAGTGGATTTGTGCCGCTGAAAGAAACCCACAGAATTGGCAACCAGGCTGCTCATCCCAGGTCCAGATAGCAGTGGGGTCGGAGCTGCGTGTAACCCATGCTTCGCGTCCGAGTTTTAGTGGTATGCCTTTGTGGTCGCCCTTCAAGATCGCAAAGAGATCGATGTCTGAACAATTGGCACATAACGTCTCGACAACACCTGATGACTGCGTTGAAATATTACGGCTTGCGGTGCGCTTTCGAAGGCTCCTGAGAATCCGTTTGAAAGCATGGTTTTTAAACCCGGTCGTACTCATGACTGCAGCAGGTGTCGGGGTGAGCAGCCGCTAATTGAGAAAACAATGTATAGTAGAGTGTTTGAAGGAATATGGATCTGAGAAAGCTAGCTTTCCAGCCTGCGGCCTAGAGCTATATAACCCTGCAGGTTTATGTCGTAAGGTTGTTCAGCCTCAAGTGGGGTCATATCACGCGCGCCTACCTCAGCCGCAGCCTAGCTATAGCATAGCCTTGCTCCAGCTTTACAGAAACACAAAGCGTGAATGATGTGAACAATAGATCAAATTGGTTTATGCCAAATCCACCCTACCTCTGGTTATCCAGACCCTGCAAACCCATGGCCTCCTTCTTAACATCCGTCTTCTCCCCCTCGCCCTTCTCCCTAAGCGCCACCTTCTCCACCTCATCAAACGCCTTAAGCGCATCCCCATACTGTTCAAAAACACCCTTCCTATACCCCTCACAAATCTTCTTGACAAACCCTTCCTCATTCCACCTCGCCTCGAGGAAATCTTCAAACTTCTCCTGCGGAGACGAGCGCTGCACACCCCAAGCCGCTTTATACGCGGCACCAAGAGCGCAGGCATTTCCTCCAATTTCAAGCTTATATACACCGTCGGAGCCACCGAGGACCTGGCCCGCGAGCTCAGCAATGGCGGGGTTCACAGCACCGCCACCAACCATGTAGATTCTGCGGGGCTGAGCGGGCAGAGAGCCCTGCGGTGAAACGAGGGATTGCGATCGCAGTCTGAGTGACAGGAACTGCGATTCGAGGATCGCGCGGGCGTCGGATTGGGGAACGGGCCAGGACTTGTCTTCGGTCTTGGCCTGGGCGGCTTCTGGTGCAATGGGCGAGAGTTGGTTGTCTTTGGAGAGGAAGCGCCATGTTCCTGCTTTGACGTTTGGTACGATTTCTGGGCGGGGGAAGAAGAGACCTAGACGCATGGGGTCGGAGGGTTGGGCTTGGCCGAGCGCGGGAGTCGTGAGGGCTGTTTCGTTGAACTTGTCCCAGGACTTGTCCGACGATGTGCCAGAGGCTTTGTTGATTGCGTCGCGGATGTGCTCGCGTGCTAGACCGCCGTTCTTGTAGCAGAGCATGAACATGTAGAGACCTGCTGTGGTGGGGTGGTTCATAAAGTGGTAGGCTGGGTCGGGCCTGTACTCGGGTGTGGACATGAGGAATGTTGTTGAGGTTCCGAGCGAGACGATGGCATCTGATGCGCGGAGAGGGAGGGCGAGGATAGTCGATGGGTTGTCGCCAGTGAAGGCGATGACCTGAGCTGACGACGGGAAACCGTAGCGCTTGCTGAAGTATGGCGACACGGTACCGAAGCTTGAACCACCGTCTTCGGGCACATTGCCCAGCTTCTTCCTGAGATCTTCGACGCCTTCGCTTCCTCCAGCTGCAAGTGCCAGAAGATCCTCATGCCAGCGACCGTTCTTGATGTCCCACAGGTTTGCTCCAGTTACGTCTGAGATATCGATGGGGGCTACTTTGCCCAGGAAGATCGACGCGAGGAAGGAGGATACGAGGGAGATGCGGGCGGTGGCCTTGTATGCTTCGGGATACTTGTCGTGGAATCGAAGGATCTGAGGGCCACTGAAGCGCTTTATGGTGTTAGTATCGACAGAGGCCAAGAAAGGGCAGGGAGCTTACGTGGTGAGCACTGCTTCCAGTGGCCAGGGCCAGATTCCTGGGCTCTTGTAGTGTCGCGTCGAAAGCACCGCACTGCTTCTGTGTACTTGCGTCTTGCCAGTTCGGGCTGAAAGGGTGACTGAAAGCACCCTTCCGCTCACCCTTGGCACCGCTTTCCAGCTGCTCGAGCAGTGTCTTGCCGCCATCTAGACTGCCAAGTAGCGTCTCTGCATCTTTGCTCCAGAAGACAGTGCCGTGCTGCATGCCCGCACCCGAGATACCCTGCACCTTGGAGAAATCCGCACCTTGTTCCTTCAATCGCTGCAGAACAAGGTCGATGGCCTCGAGCCACAGGGCAACTGGCGCGAAGACCTCGCCTTCATCGGGGTTTGTGAGGACACCCTTCTCAATCCCATATTTGGCGAGATCGGCGTCAAAGTCGACTTTGGCCTCGTGGATAAGTTTAAGGTCGGAACCAACGATGATACCTAGAAAACCGCAGTCGCGTCAGTTCAGCCCTGGCAGTCGGAGGTCCAGATAGTGGGGTAGCTCCAGTGGGGTCTCCTCACCTTTGAGTTGCTGAGTGCTCAAGTCGAAGCCCAAGAATTGATCAGCCATGGTCGCGGTATGTCAATTCTGTGTCGAGCTGCAGTGTTGGGAATTTGAGTGTTATGGCTTGACAAGACATGGCTAAAATAAGCAGATCACGTCTCGTGGTGTTGAGGACCCTCCTTACACCCACACCCAAGATACGGGCACACTGACGCAAGACCCACATTGACGGACAAGCTACATCATAGGCAATTTTGCCGGCGGTGCCTGCAGCAGCGCCAGTTCTTTTGCGCGGAATGATTGGACAACGGATAAATTCGTGCCGAGACATCGTGAGTACAGCTATGATTTTCTGGAGTAGCATGTCGGCCAAACGCCGATGGCAGCTAGGAATTTTTGTTAGCGTGGGGAAGCACGAGTCTAGAGCGTGGGCTGAAGTCGAATTGAGGTGATAGATTCAATAGATATCCAACTGTCGAATATCTTGTATATGCCGCCGGGTAGTCCTTCTGCCCAACTCCGAACGCCCAGCCATGCTTGTCTATAGATATACACGAATCACTTCCTTCGCCTTGCGTCGGTATCGGTGGTCTCGTGTTTATGGTCGTGATTGTGGTCGTGGTCGTGATCATGTTGTCCTTCCGATGCTGGGTTCGGTGTCGCAGTAGGGTCGCCAGGTATGAACTCATCGAGAAAGTCTGGTGCCTCCGCCGAGTTGGCTACAAAGCGCACACGCACCTTCTTCACTCCGCGCACATTGGCACCGATGCGCTCCCGGATGAGGTTCTCGACGTCGCGTGTCTGCTCAATGGTCCACGCACTTGATACGCCAATTTCAACATCCATAAGATAGTTCTGCCCAGCCTTGACACCCTGAATTGCCCGTACGTTCACTGGCTCCGATGTGGTAGTGACGCCCTCGACAGCGCTAGTCGCGGCCTTCCGAATGTTGTCCTTCATCTCCTGGTCTACGCCGACGTCTGCCAGTTCTAAGAGCGCCTGCTTGGTGTTTCCCCAGCCAGCTTGGACGACCATGAGCGAGATGACCAATCCACCAACAGGGTCCAACCATTTTGCGTTGTTGAGCACGTTTGAACCGGCGATTAGGAGGAGAGCGACAAAAGCGGTGAGAGAGTCTACGCGGTGGTGGTAGGCGTTGGAAGCGAGGACGGTGGACTTGCGTTCTTTGGCGATCTTGAGAGCTAGAATGGTTGTCAGCGCGCGTTTCTTGAATCGATTGGGGTGTGCTCACTCGCTCGGTACAGCCACTCCTTGATGACGATTGAGCCAGCAGCGAGCCAGATAGCATTGATGTTGGGGCCCATATCCTCGATGCCGTGATGGTGGTGATGATGCGGTATAAGCCCCCAGTGCTCAGCTATCTCGGCGGCTTCGGGGAAGAACTGCTTGCAGAGGGCAAGTAGAGCGGTCCAGCCCATGAAGAAGCCTCCTGCAAGCAGGATGCCGCTGACACCGAGCGAGCCCAAACTCTCCACCTTTCCGTATCCGCTGGGGAAGCGGTTGGTGGGCGGCTTGAGGGACCAGCCGACAGTTGCGAGCGTCATGATGTCGCTCACGAGGTCGGTGAGACTGTGGATAGCATCGGCGATGAGTGCTGGCGGGAGTTAGCTGGCGTTCATACACAACGCGTACATGCATCTCACCCTGGCTGTTGAAGACGTAGCCTCCAAAGCCCTTGCTGACGGCCATGCCCAAGTTGACGTAGAGGCCAATCTTGGTGATGCGCACGCCAGCGTCATTCTTGTTCTTGGACAGCAGGAACGTGTTGTCGTGGTGATGGTGGTGGTGGGAATGGCCAGCATGCTCCCTTTTCTGCGTGTCGCCTGTCATGGTGGAAGGGGAAAAGTGTGGTTTGCGGTGGATAGTGGAAGACCAGTTGAGTAGGGGCGCCGTATGCGAGGGAGACTTGAGGTATTGGGCGCCTTTAGTCGTCGTCTGGGTGCAGAGAACGCGCAATCTGGGCCGGCAAGTGGGAGGCTTGTAAGCGTATCGTGATAGGCCGTGCGGTCGCACTGAAGGTTGCGTAGAGTAGTAGTTGGATTGAGCACCCTGCAGGGTTCGGGGTGAAGGTAAGACGCGTCCACGCTGGCTAAACTGGACACGCATGCCATCTCCATTTCTGCAGGCGGTGCGCAGTAACATGGGACGTGGTGGCAGCGGTTGCGCCTTTTAGTTATGCGGGAATCCCAGATGCGACTTGCTGCGAGCCTCTCCAAGACTGACAATTTTGACCCTCTTCCGCGGTTGCTATCGGCCCTCGTTCCTGGCGTATCATGGCGCCTTTTGCGTCAACACACGGCAATTGTGGGGGCAAGCTCTCTACCGCCACATCCGTCCCGCCTCGCTTCAGCTCACATCACCACTCTCCACATTCTACACGGTAGACTGGAAAAGTTGTATTCGCTAGACTATGTTGATTTGCAGGCGTTTGTGTTTTCTGCTATCAACGATGACGATGGTGGTGCGAAGTCACAATTCAATTTCACAGCTGAAATCATGAATAAGTCTGAATTCGACGTCTACTACTATTTTGTCACTGCTCTTGTGTGGCTTTTCTCGAAGCGTCGTCATCTTCACAGGGAAATGGACCTGAAGATCCTCCGCGTTTCATACTTTGGGCGGACGCGCGTGTCAATACGAGTAGAGCCAAGAAACGTCATGGCCATTCGTATCGTGGTTACGTCGCCCAGTTTGCTTGTTGCCTGTTTGAGAAAGCTTCTTCAAATATTTATAGCCTTGGCTTTGCACTATCTTCGCCCGCAGGGTCTGTCGCGCGAGCAAGTATCCAGTTGACAACGTCGTCCCGGAAGGCGTCTTTATCAGGACTAGGCTCGTCATGTACTGACTAGGTTAGTTTGAACACACTCGATTGGATCAAATACTCACAGCGATGGTAGCATCCCGCGTACGACTTGAACTCCTTATCCTTGACTTGCAGGGCACTGAACAGACGTTTAGAGGCAGGATAGCTGGTGATGCCATCTTGTTCTCCATGCGCGATCCAGATCCTCGTCACGCCACCCTCTCCAGCATTGTCAGGTATCACGACCTTGCCGCTAGACAAAGCATTGGTTCGATCGAGCAGTCCTGCAAGCCCCCCGAGCGTGCCCGTGTCATGGCAGAGCTCATCCTCGTCAAATTGCTTGCAAACCGCCGGGTCTCGTGAGATAAGTTTAGGATCCAGCTTGTTGGTCAGCTGACGCTTCGCCATGAGCTTTCCAGCGACTCTGCCAAAAAAGACTGTGACGGGAGAGGGCTTGGACTTGGGATCGAAGTCGACAAACGGTGACTCCAGGAGAAAGCCGCGAATGTGCTTGCGGACTTCCTCTGGACCTTGTGCAGCGTAGCAAAGGGTCTCACCGCCGCCCATAGAATGACCCATCATGAAGAGCGGTACCGGGCTCGGAATCAATGTCTTGATGAAGGAGGTGATATCGTCAAGGACCTGACTAGTTGGGCCCGTGTCTCCTCGCTCGGCGGGTTTCGTTACAGAGCGGCCCCATCCCCTGCGCCTCGTCAGTATCAAATATTGGAAACAGTACACGCACGCACCTCTGGTCGAACGTGTAAACTTCAATGCCTCTAGAAGCCAGATGGGGAAAGAAGCCGCCGTAGGTGTTGACTTGATATATGTTAGAGGCCGAATACACATGTGGTAAGTGCAATCTTACCGTGCTAGAGACAATGTTAGTGATGCATTCCATATTATAATTACAAGAACCATACATCTGAGAAACCATGGATGAATACAAGTCGGGCTTTTGCCGGTCCGTCCGTCTACTCAATGAGTTAATGCCGATCTTATTGATCTGGTTCCACCATACCCTGAATGTTTTCGTATACAGCTGCTTGCCATCGGGCAAGGTATGGGTGCCTTCCTCAACGGACATGGTGACGCTATCAGGCGAAAATTGGGGAGAAACGGAGTATGCTTGGAGTTGAGATTGGAGCTATTGGAGGCCTAGTGCGCTTGGTAATGCAGATCTGGTTGAGATCAAGCGATGAAGGAAATAAGAGTAGTTGACACCTGAAGTTGTTCAGCTCTCCGATGACAGCCGCGGCTCCCGCACGCGTCATAGCTTTGTTGGTGCCACCCACCACTTGCACATGTCAGACACGACAACTCAGCTGGCGACATGGTTATCGTCAGCCCATTCTCGGAGACTCGATGGTCAATAAAACTTGGCTATATTTGGAGGCCCGAAAAGGCGCCGATGACATGATGAGGGTGAAGTCAGCTAGCCTTAACGGCTGTCGTCCAAGCTCCCGCCCAGTGGATCATCCTGCATAACGCATTGGACCCCTCTACCCGGTGTCCCCACTTACATTTTCCTCGTGGTAAGATACTTTCTTCTTGCTATGAGCATTCTTGCCCGTCGACTTTTGTCCCATCACTCCTTTCCGAGACGACTCTCCTCCCAGAGAAGCATGCTGAGCAGCATGCCACAGGCTCGCTCAGCAAAAGCGATCCTTAGCCATCAAGAGCGCACCGCGACGGAACCACGAGAGAACGACGTGCACACTGCCACCCTCGCCAAAGTGACGCCTGTCAACGACCGGATCAAGCGCTTTAAATTCGAAATCAAGGAAAAGGACGGCTTCAACGTATGACGATCTCCATCTCGCTCGCGACATGCGCTGATGGATAAGTCAGTTCCTCCCCGGCCAATGGCTCGATGTCTTTGTGCCTGATGTAGAAAAGGCCGGCGGGTTTACCATTACCTCGTCGCCTTCAGAAGCCCTGCCGCGGTCAGATCCCGACTTCGTACCATACTTTGAGCTAGCCGTACAGAAGAGCCCTGATAATCCGCCGGCAGCATGGTTGTGGCAGCCGGTCGACGACATTCTGGGGAAGGAGGTCACTGTGCGTGTGGGTGGAAGCTTCATCTGGCCTCCTCCCTGTCTGGATATGAAGAAGATCAAGCGCGCCATCTTCATCGCAGGAGGTGTCGGAATCAAGTGCGTCCAGCTACGCCATCACCGATTCGCATGTCTCGACCGCTAACACCCCCACAGCCCTATGATGTCAATGATGACCTACATAAACCAGAACTACCCGAACCTCGAAGTACGCTTCTTGTACTCTACTAAAGTCCCATCGCGGGAGACCGACCCCAGCGAAGTCCTTTTCCTGCAAGATGTGCTCGACCTCTTCCGCATACCCAGATTCAAGGTGACCAAAGACCGCCTTGAGCTTTTCTTCACAGGAACTTGGGACGGGTCTGAAATGGGCACAAATGATGGTGACTTGATACATCCACTCATGTCTCTGACGCTGCCGCAAATTGACTCGGCTACCGAAGTGCCAGTGTGTGCCTGGACGCATCGCATTGACGACATTGCCCTTTCTAGCGCCGTCGGCAACAGAAAGGAAGCGCAATCTACCGTCTTCTATGTGTGTGGGCCTCCAGACATGACCGACGACATGGTGAAGTTTATCAAGGAACAGGATAACGTGGCACCGGAGAGAGTGCTGTGCGAGAAGTGGTGGTAATGGCAAGGTTAAGGTAATTTATCATTGGATAGTCCAAGACGATCAATACTAAGTTTTGCACTCGAAAACCGTGCCGTCGCTGCGGCAAGCGCTGTTGTATGTACGATGCTCACACCATTAACTGGAATTTACGCGCCCACAAAGGCCGTAAATTCGAGACGGCTCGTGGTAGCGAGCTCCACCAGACTAGCTCCACCTTCCAAAACTCAGTGCGGGACCCATGGCCACCATCGCTTTTTGTGCCTCAAGCCATCTATCGTCCGCAAGCACTTTACGAGACAGCAAGCGATCGCTTATATTGTGCGACCCCGCGATAAGGCCCTCCATTTCATCCGGCCTCTTACCTCGAAGTTCTATATTGAATTACCCGATTCGTCGATATTAACCCACATTCTCCGGTACAAACTGCAGGGATGGCGCAAGGAACAAGCCGTCTAGCTCCCGCATGCAGCGCCTTCCTGCGAGTTTGATTCGCCATCACACTTTACAAGCTGTGTGATCGCGCAGCATGCGTGTGCCACTCAGCGCCTGCAATGCCTCTTTCGCCCCTCAGTTCACTCACTGGCGTCGGCTAAGATGGGGGCTTACATGGCTGTTAAGAGCGTGGAAGGCCCCGGAACGCTGGATGTTGATGCTTCGTTTGTGCGTCTGAACCTCGAGCACGAACGACGACCGCTTACGACCACGAGAGGCTCTCGGTAGCATCTCCAGCTATCGACTTCGGATTGCCGACAATAGCGCAACAAGAGCGCCCGGCGCAGTTCAACCTTATCTCCGCAATCGCGACCCATCCAGGCGCAGCATCACATATACGGCAACGCTAGCCACCAGACACTACCATTGAGTGTGACGGTCTCAGACATTCATCATGGGCTTCTTTATATCACGATCATGGCGCCTGCCGAAAATTATCTACTTCCTCATGGTGTTTGAACTGCCATTCACCGTGGCCAACCTTGCGCTCTTCGGCATCGCATCGCCAAATCTATACCGCACAATCTTGTGGAGAGTAGGAGGCGAGTTGGGCTTCAACTCGAAACCAAGTACAGTCCTATATGCGGCTGCGAATTATCGACCTGTGGATACACCTTTAGTATGGAGTAGCTTGTAAGTAGCATCTTCAAGATCGATGACGGATGCGCAAGAACCAAAACTACAGTCCATGGACCTTGCTATCATTCTGCGAAACCTCAAAACCCAACGGTAGACTGACCATCGCAGTAACACCCAATACCACCTCGTAATCGGCGTAGTATGCATGTTCTTCTGGCTTGTCAAGGTGACCTTATGGCTCCTTAAGGTCTTCTTCCCGATCCTATCGCTCCTCCTCCACATCGCTCTCATGACCCTATGGGCCTACGGCATTCACATCCAAACCGCGCCCGACACAATCGACCCCAAGCACACAAACAACGGAGCGCCCTGGTACATAACCAAGAGCTGTAACATCGTGGACGACAAGCACATCAAGAGTTACTGCATGCAAGCAAAGAGCAGTTTCGCCGTCAGCATCATCATGCTGTAAGTCTCATGCCACCTGCATCAACCAAAATGAAAGGCGCTAATCATGCTCTATAGTGCCATCTACGCTGTCTTCGTCGTCCTCTCAGTCTATTCCCTTATCCCGACCACCGCCCAAAAACAAGCACACGCGGCCAGGAAAGCGGAAAAGAAAGCGGAGAAGGAGAAGTGGGCTTCCTCACCTTACGACAACGAGATGACCGCCGAGGAACAATGGCAGCACATGTGGGAACTTCAACAACTACCTCGTACACCCGGTACTATTGGTGGCATGAAGTCACCCATGACGCCACGGACACAAGCATTCAACAATCTTGGTGGTGAGGAGGCTGGGCATGGAGGCTATTACAGCAACGTGCCAACAGGAGGTAATGCGTGGTACGGACCACCGCAGACGCACGAAGGGACTATAACGGTCAGTCCAGTAATGGAGCAAGACGAATACTACTCCTCGCACGAAGGCAAGGGGAAAGCACCGGGCTGGGGCGGTAATGCGTACTAAGCGCACGCACTGTCTATGGTTTCGTAGTCTTTTGATTGGGATTGGCGTTTGAGCGAGTGTGATTTTCAATGATACCAAATCTGGGAGCTAGGATGTTCGCTCATTACTGGATAGGAGAAGAGGCAGAATGGGGTCGCTCCTTATCTCAAGACTGAATCTAACAATTTTCATATGTATTTGCAAATCGTGGACTGTGTGGATGCCTTTGGAGCGTGTGAACTGACATTTTGTTAGGTGAGACATGTGATGGCGCGCAATCGCGTCGGAATGGCACGCGACACTTGACGTAACCTCTAGCACTTGAGCTCCACAATGTCAAACTTCTAATCTTCGACTAATTATCTTCCTTCACCGTCTCCAAACTAATTGCAGTCATAATTTTACGCAGTAAAATGTCTGGACATGCCGTAAACCATATTGTATGTGTCGGTGCCGTTTACATCGACACCATCCTAACGTACGTACTTGCTCATTGCGGCCTCGCCGAGAACAAAGCGCCCACTAACCGTCAAACATCCAGTGTTCCCCATTTCCCCATAGAAGATGAAAAGCTACGCGCCAAATCCATAACACGAAGAAGAGGCGGAAACACAGCAAACAGCTTAGAAGTGTTATTGCAACTACAACAACATGGTCCCGAGACAGCGCGGAATCCTCGATCCACAGACTTGCATCTGCTCGCCGTACTTCCTAATGAAGATAGCGCTGCGTCGAAATTCATCTGCGAATCACTGCCCCAAGTGAAGATATCCGATGTGAGTCTGTTTCGCAAACAGCACAAGGAAGCGGCATCTAGCTATATTATCCAAAGTGAGGAGAACCGGTCGCGCACGATTGTCAGTCTCAATCAGCTACCTGAAATGCAAGACAGCGAGTTTATGCAGCAGGTCTGTAGCTTTACTGGAGGAGGAGGTGGTGGTGGTGATGGCAAAGAGCAAGGTTGGAAGAAAGCGTGGTTCCATTTCGAAGGCCGTGTTCCAGAAATCACACACTTGTGCGTCCGCTTCCTGCGCGAAAAGTTCCCTCACTTTAAGATCAGCGTCGAGTGTGAGAAGCCAGAACGCACGAGTATGGCTGAGGTCGCGCAGTACGCGGATGTGGTGTTTTATTCGAAACTCTGGGCCGAGAAGAATGGGTATAAAGATGCGAAGAGTTTTCTTGAAGATAGGAGGAGTGAGACGAGAGATGGTGCAATGTTATGTTGTACATGGGGATCTGGAGGCGCGGCTGCGGTTCAGAAGGGGGATAATGAGGTTTGGGCGGATGTCAGGGCGTGGCAGGCTGAAGGAGATGGGCAAGCAAAGGTTGTGGACACTATTGGTGCTGGGGATACTTTTATCGCTGGTATGTTATTTGCGATTAATGAGCATGGAGAGTGGTCGTTGCAGCGGAAACTTGAGTTTGCGAATGAGCTGGCTGGAAGGAAGGTTTTGCAGGAGGGATTTAGTGGCCTAGGGAAGAAAATGTGGTAACAGGATGATCATGAGCAGGTCTCGTTCTTCAACTACCGTCCTAGGTACTGAACAATACAAACTGATGTATCAATCGTCCAATTCTACTACTCTTCACAAGCTAATATACCCAAGCGCATCTATGCAAACTTCAAGTTGACTGGCAGATCGTGATACATCTGGTAATCGAACTCGTTGCTCCACTCCACGATAAACATCTTGGTGAGTGCAACGACTCCTACGAGATTGAGCTCCTTTTCCTCATCTGGTAAACGCCAGAAATGAACTTCATCCAGTTGATCCATGGTCCAACCATCAACCAAGGCAAGTGTTATGTCCGTTACAACGCGTACAAGATCGCCTGAATTACCCTTTCCGAGAAGAACAGCGGATGCTGCCATTTCACCCATGCTATTGCGGACGAAATTACCTTCCCATCCTTTGCGTTCGAGAAGATGCGGCGAAGAGGAGACAGTCCGCTTAAGAAGATCGGCAAGTTGAGATCTGAATCGGTCCATAGTGGGCTTCGAGTACGCTAGGAGGATATCACGCATCCCGCGATGTATACTCCATGAAAGATGGTTCCAAGGAAGACAGTCAAGTGCTTGTGCGATAGCCTCCTGCTCTCTTTCAGGAACCAGTAAAGTCGTCTCTTTCAAGGGATCTGTGCTCGGAACTTTGAGCTCCAGCCAATCTCCAGATACTTGATTCGACTCTCGAGCGAAGATATAGTCAACTTCGTATACTTTTCCTCCCAGCATATTATACAAATGCCGAGACCCGTGCGCACCAGGAAATCCCTTTACTGCATATTCCAAGACGTAAACGCCAGGCGGCTTGCGGCCGCAAAACGCGAATTGTACACCAGAAGGGGCCGCGATGACCCCGGCTACCATTTGTGTGCAACGGTTTGTACGTTGCGTGAAACTGGGAGGATATACATCGGTAGATTTCTTGTGCGAATCATGAGGTGAAAATTGCACGACTGCATCTTGACCGATCGGCCAAGTAATGTACCACTGCCCATTGTACGAAGCGTACCCGGCTCGGAAACCAGAGGCATCGCTGTACGAGAAGGCAGCTCTTGCGTTCGTTAGCACCAACATCGTTATGAGTGTCGTTCGCGAGATGGATACACAAGCGTGTGCTTGGTAGCGAGAGAGTGGCATCCTCTCCAAAGATTTCCATTGTGTGCGCCTGTCTCGAGTTCCGTGTGTATTATCTTCCGTTGTGATGACACTCTTTTCGTGAATGGCCCCCGCGGCCTTCTCTGCTTCGTCTATCTGCAGACTTGTTGACCTAAGCGAAAGCAGCTTCTCTGGATGAAAGATGGCCAAAATGAGTGCCCATCCTGCCTTTCCGGGAGGTGTGAACAGGGGCAAGCGCGTTAGATGGATAATCTGTCGTCCACAGAAACCGGTCTCCAGATCTGCAACTAGAACTGGACCGTATAAAGGCGGCTTCCTTACGGTCCACCATGACGCTTTTTCCTGATGGCCATACCAGAAGCCTAGGTATGCTGGGGTGCGATGGCTATGGAAAGGATCGAGCTTCTCATTAATAGCGCTAGCCTGTGATAAGAGCCCACCCAGTCCGACGGCGGTGACCATGAAAGAAAGCCATGTCGCAACATCCGCGGATGTTTCCATTCTCAAGAATCTGATAGCCGATAACTCCATTGCATATAAGTAACAGCACGATGGTGGTGGATGGGTGAGCTTACATGATGCGGGGACGCGCTTATGTATATGTGCAATACTGACGAAGTATATTAAACGGGTAGCATTGCTGAGCCAGATCGCCTGTCTAGGCGCAGTAGGTAGAAGGGCCGTCTTTTAAACTGTAGACTAGGAGCGGGCATCAGACGCCTTCATAGGCTTGAAATATTGTTACCCCTTCGCCTCGCAAGGCAACCCGTGTTCATGCATATCGTGCAGCCGTGTCACATTCAGCCTTGCAGCTAATCTGCCATGAATCTGGCGTTGTGTGTAAGAACGGGCGATTGGGAAGCTCTTGCAAGACGGAAATTTGTAGTGAGCTCCCTACGACATTCGTACTTTTCGTCGTTGAACAATCGCAGACCATGTTTGAAAGTCAGTAGAACGCCACTTTGCTCGTATCTAGTTATGGTAAAACAGAGTGGGGCAGATAGGCGTCCACAGCGTGGCTTGCCCCTCTTCTAGCAGTAATTGGTCTAGCTGCTTACTGTAAATCGTGTACATAATTGGTCACTCAGACAGCGAATTGATTGACTTAATCCCCAACATGATAGCCAGTTCTTCACACATACAACCAAACGCGGAAACTACCCAAATACAATGGCATCGCACGACGAGGCCCAATCACCGTCGCTGCTGAGCTACGAGGTAGTTTACCATCCGCATTCCGTATAAAAGGTCTGAAATACGGCTATGTTAGGAGTGACTGCAAAACTTCCTCCATGGAACACACCAATCTTTACCTACCTGTTGTAGTTCTCCGCCGCCACATCCACGTATCCGTCCTCCTCATAGCCCTTAACGATCACCGTCGTCTCGCAGCCCTCTTCTGCCTCCTCACAGACTGCCAGATGCCTCGCGACCCTCGGGAAGATGTCAACGTGCGCATGCTTTCCCATCCAACAATCCAGATGCCCATAACCATTCACAACAACCCTTTCGTACTTTACCTCCGGAAAACATTCTCTTAACAGATCATAGCTACTTTTCGTGCTTTGCTGGCTCCAAACAGCATTCTCAGCCCCACTCAGCAAGCAAATACTCAACCCCTTCAACCTCTCTAGATTCGTTTGGGTAAGCAGATCCTCAAACACGGGCCTATTGCTGCGAACGTGGTGAGGTGGCATAGCACCCATATTCGATAAGTGCGAGAGGAAGTTGGTGTGGATGCCATCGAACCAATGACCAAGATGCTCATGTGTGGCGTGGTTGAGGTTGGTGTGCGTCCAACAGCGGCCAAAAGGAACGTCGCATCTGTGACAGACCGCAGAGTTGCACATTTCGCTTCTAGTGCCTACGGGGTAGAAACGTAGTATTTGATCCAGCAGGAACTGCACCCATGGCGAGGACGAAGAAGAGTGGCACGGGAACCAGGAGCCTGCTAATGTCTACCCGGCTGTAAGCAGAGAAATTTGGTAGATGGAGAGGACGGGACTTACTTCATATGCCTTTATGAGAATGGGATGTCGCGCCTTGAAATCGTTGTCCGGGCTGAAAAGTAGGTTGGTGAATACTTGACTACATGTCATTCCTTTCAACCAAGAAGCTTCCACGTCGCCTTTGAGCAAAGCAATGCCTGTTGCTATGCTTCCTAAGCAATGAACAACAGCGTAGATCTTTCTCTCTTGTTCCCTCTCTCGAACGTATTCCATGGCAGCTCGAACGTCCAACCGAGCATCGTATACAGTATCGCCCTTTCTAGCTTCTTCTCCAATCCCAAAACGGAGGATGGGGATGTAACACCGGTAGCCAAGTGAGGTAAAGTAATCAATGGCGTTCGTGGGTACAGTTGGCAAGGAAAACATTTGATCGTCTACAGACGCACCGGGGATGAATACGATCGGCGTATGCTTCTCCAGCGTGCCGGATGGAGGCTGCCACAACTTGATGGGAAACCTGACCCCATCGTCGGCTGTAAGCATCGTCACAGTAGGAATCGCCTTCTCATAGTAGCCCGATTTCCCGGTGGGCGGTGTTGGATACTGGAGTCGACGAAAGGGACTGAACACGTACGATGCGATGTTAGTCGTGAAGAACTTGAGAAACCTGGCCTGCGCTTGCATATCGCTCATGCCACCAATAGTTGTACGAGATCGTAGGGACTGAAGTTCCGAGAAGAAGTCGTGGAGTGACAAGTGTAAAATACCTCGACCGACCACAACGCCATCGTAACCAGTGATTGTTGTGTATAAAGTTGTTGTCGCGCCCCAAGTTCTCGAGACTGAGAATGCAGCAGTCGAGTTAAGTCTTTTGTAACCGTGAAAGCCGTATCTCGCACCATCTGTACTCAAGAGGTCTACCTTGTACACGAGATTTACTGCATCTGCGACTTTCTCGTCGATTGTAAAGAACTCGACTGTGCCACCAGTAACCATGAACGGTTCTTGCGACAATGCGCCGCAAGCAAATGTGCCAAATGGCACACCCTGATATGAGCCATTTCGGTTGCGGCGTGCGTCCACCGTGAGTGCGAGCTGAGCTGAGCTTGAAGCCTCCCTAGCAACCTTTTCCGCAATACTAAAATCTGGGACGTTGTTGCCAAAGTGAATATGACCTCGCATGACTTCCTCAAATCGGACGCCTTCGATCGAATCCTCGATGGTATTGAGTCTAATAGTCTTTGTGGATTCTGGTAGTACAGGTACGAGCGGATGTTTCGAGGTACTTAGTCTACCATTTGAACTATCGTCGGTTTTCCAACCACGTTCTTGGGCGATCAGGTCACAGCTTCGCTCAGCCAGTGCAGTGATTGTAGCGCATGGATTCACACCTTGAAACTACCATCAGCTGTCATCGAATCAGTTTGCATGCTTCAACGGAGCGACTTACCGAGTGATGTTGGGATGATTGAACCGTCTACGCAGACAATCCCCTCGTATACTTCATGTCCTTTTCCAACAAGAAGCTGGCCGCGATGATTGACCACGCCTCCAAGTCCAGTTCCGTCATTACTCATAACCGCACCTCCGAGCGGGTGAACAGTGATACATGGAGCCTTGACGAGTTTGCCGCCAAGGTTCTCAGTCATCTCAAGAAGAACGCTGTCAAGATGTGCACTTCGCTTCTGGCTCCCTATGCCCAACCATCGCAGAACCACTGCATCATCTTCGAGTACCATCTGTCCTTCGTTTTCGTCGTGGGACATGGTGAGATACACTAGCGTCCGGTCCACGCTGCCACCTCTAGCATATGGTCCAAGGATCCAATTCTTCAACCTGGCCAGCAAATTACCTATAGTGCTGGATGATTCAGACGGCACAGCGGTGGTTTGGGTTTCGAGCAAACTCTGAATGACTGGCGCTAGAGCTTCAGGGATCGCACCGTCTTGGATAATGTACCTGTCCCGTACGTTTTTGGCGTGTGTGGAGCCTCTCATGTCGATGCATGCAGTAATCGTTGGGCCGCATGATTTGGAACTCATTTTACCCAGGGCTTCACGACCAATGCTACTGATGTCGTGCTTGCAATTATATGCGAAAGCCAACATGTCACCGTTGCCTGTCAACCTTTGACCCAACAAAGGTGATGTATGGAGGCCATAGCGTTGCGATCGCAGCAGTACCTCCGTCGTCCCGAGTGCACCGGCCCCAAGGAAGACAACCTCCCGCTGTGTCGCGTTAGTGTGAGCTATACTCGAAGAACCTCACACTTACAGCTCTGACCCACTTCTTTGTCTTTCCTCCTCTCCCATTGGACACCTCATAGAATACTAAGTACCCTTTGCCTCGACCCTCCTTTTTCACATGTCTGACATCAATTCCACAGAAGAGTTCGGCGCCTCTTGTCCAAGCATCATACAGGTATGTTACAAGTACTGAGTTCTTTGAACCATCGTTGACACCTGTGCACTCGTTGCCAGAACCCGTACTTTCGCTCATGTGTATTCCAGCTTGGTTGGTGCTGGAGCAGAAGGTTGTCGTCAACGGAGGACGGTAAAAGTTTTCATGCAAGCCAAGACTATCGGCTTGCCGTTCAAAGACGTCTAGTTTGCGTGGTTTTGGGTATCTTGTTGGAAATGCTGTTGGTTGGAGCATGCGCTCAGCTCTCACGTAGACTACATCGAAGTGTCAGCATCAGCACTCTTCCTTCCATGACCTTTCAGTACTCACATTGCTCGAGGTCTGCAGGATTCTCTCTAATTTCATCCGGCCACTCTGCTGCTTCCAGTAATCTTTCGTTTGGTTTGAGGAAAACACCAGCATTGATCAAGCTCGTTCCCCCCAGACCACAGCCTAGAAATACGTCCTGCCCTTCCCCTTTGACAGTATGGTACAACCCTGCTGCTTTACCGATACTAATCATTTTACCGAGTATCTTGCCACTTAAGCTATATTCTCGCATGGCGTCTTTGAACGTATGGGGATACTCTCCGGGCCAGGTTTCTTTTCCAAGTTCTAGCACACAAACGCTTTTCCCGGCTCTTACCATGCGTGATGCTGCAACGCCACCGCCATATCCTGAGCCAACGACCACCACATCATATTCGGTTTTTATCGAGAATGGATGGCGAGCCAGGCGAGGATACGCTCTGTTGGTCGACGTGGCATTTGCGGATGGGATCGGTAGCTGTGGTTTCTTGAGGCCAAGTTTTACCGGCATAGACTTCGCAAACGTGAAAAAGCTCTTTCATAACTTCGACTGAAGGATATGGCTACATGTATGCCAAGATAAGTAGCAAAGGCAGCTTATGAATGCAATCAGGAAAGTCGACTCGAGCATACTTACTTCTTGCGAAAGTAATCACTGGACCATTTGAAAGAAGGCACAGTAGATGTCAAATAATTTGAGACACTCCACACTGCCGGAGCTTCGTGTAGCATGGACGAATCGCCATCGCCGAAGTTCGGTCCACATCAAGAAGCGTTGGAACTCGCTTGGGGGCTAGACACCGCATCTGAGCTTCCATTGTTACCCAATTGAGCTTACCTATGTATGTTCCGAGCGCGCCACTTGTCACTATCACCGGGAATGTCTGATTCGGGTGCACGTCCGGTAAATAGTCGTCATGCGATTCGATAAGATCTTCGAGGGTCGCGCCTTTGCATCGGAACAATAAGCAACATTGGGGGCCACTATTTGGTCGACAGCAGTAGCGGCCAGCGCGGTAACAAGAATGTCGAGAAGCTGCTATGGTCTCTGGAGGGATGTATTCAATCTGGCCTTTTACTGGTCGCGTGAAACGAGAATTGATGCCGACCTGGAGAGAGTGGGTTGAAAAGGCAAGGGTCCTCATCCGCGTAGGTGGAACTGCATATTTCCGGCGCGTCGCTACTCCCAGTCTGCTGACCTTCAGCAAAATATCGTTTCACAGCTCATGGCCCATCTTTTGCTATATGCAGTGCATACGCGCGTTGTTTTCCATATCCAAGTGATGGGGAGAGGTCGTCTGGACGTAGATGTGTTTTCAAAGGCGAGAAGTAGGATGACGCGGTCACTTCTTCCACCTCGGCACGCTCGTTTGGCTTCAAACCACCGTGCACCTCCTTTCTGCCACGGACTGAAAACCACCAAACCACCTAGGTGAGCTAGCCTGTAGTGAACACAGCCAGCAAACTTCCTTCAAAGGGACGACACTGCCAATATTCCTCAGTCAGTCGGGCATGCTGCTAGTGCCCGTGCACCTGTTGACCATACCCGAGTTAAGTGGTTCAGCTGCTTCATCGCAGCGGGTCAGCACGAACAGTACGCCACCACTCGGCTCGGCACGAACGGCTTCCAGCCCTAACTCCAGGGTAGGAGAATCCTGCTGTGGTTTCACGTAAGACTTTCTACCGTATGTCAATGTTACTAAACCAGCTCTATGTGTAAGTATCTTGTTGACAGGTGAAGTTTATTGGATGTTCGGCAATGGGATTGTGTACCCAAGTTTTCATCGATTTCGCTTTCTGCGGAGACTTTCATCCAGCTGCACCGGATACCGAGGTACTACAACAGCGTCAAGAACAGAGAGCGCCAGCAAATTGAATGGTTTTTTGGTGTCGAGCGTAAATTTATGTCATCTCTAGCGGTTTTCTCGTTCTCATTCTTCTTTATCTGTCCTCACGAAGCTCCAGATCTCTCGCCAGACTCCGCGGCGTAATCTCTCCGGCCTTCTTTCCAGAATCTGCCTAATTCTTGCTCGTTCATTGCTCCTTGCAGCTTCGGCCTCGATCTCCTCTTGCATGTCCGGGCTCATGTCAGCGTACGATTGATCCTCCTTGAACGGATCTTCGAACATGACGGAAGGACCGGCGATGCCATCGTTCTGGCCGTCCATCTCATATGATCCGAAGCGGGGTCGCGGAACAGGCGGTATGCATGTCGGGCCCTCCAGCTCGATGTTTGATAGATCTTGCAACACATAGTCTTCGACTGTGAGGTTGCGAATGTCGACGCGAGACGTACGTGGGTAGATGAACTTGTACGAGAGGTAGAGGATGGCGAAGATAGCAGGGCCGATATATGCTCCGATAACGTCAAAGGCAAGGCTGATGGTTGACTTCAGATTGCCAGGAGAGGAAAGATTACCTCTAGCAATTAGAATGATAAGTGGCGGTATGCCGGACCATATAAGGACGAATGTGCTTCCTATCATACCGATGTATGCAGGAAGTGGTTGCCAGCGAGACTTGAATAGTCGAGACTTGTACAGCGGGTGGTTTCTTCCAAAAATCTTTCGCTTCGCCAGACGATCGAGCCCAGCTTTGAAGCGCAGAAAGGTGATGCAAAGGCAGATGTTAATGCAGGTCGCAGTACCAGTGTAGATCTCAGAGAGTGTGATAGTTGGTTGTGAACTCGATCTGTCGGCCAATCCAACGAGTGACAGGAACCCGAGGGCTGAGCATAGCAAGATAGCTGCCAACGGCGTGTGACCGTTGTTAGTCCTACCAAATACATTTGCGACTTTTCGTGGGAGGTATTGTTGGGATAGCATGAAAACACTCCGCGAGGCGGCATACAGATCAGTGTTTGCAGTCGTATATGCCGAGAGTATGAAAAGCGCATTCAGTACTTTGGGTAACGCGTCGAGCGACAAGTTTTCAGCCGCGATCACGAAAGGCGATCTTGTCGGACCACTGCCTTTTGTCCACAATTTGGACAATTTCGGATCGAGGTAGTTGACGTTTGACCCAGCAGCAAACATCGCAAAAGGGTACATGATGACGGGAATGACGTATACGAAGGTCATTGTGGCCGGTACATCCTTCCAAGGGTTCTTCGCTTCCCCAGCAGTCATTGCGACCAGGTCTGTGCCGAAGGAGAACATGGCAAGCGTGATTGAGGTACTGTGTATCCAATAAGCTTGGCTGTGTTCAGCCCGATTCGGAATACTCACATAAATCCAAACAAAGCACCTCCTGTCCCAGGTATGCCGAATTTATCGTCAGAGACGCTTGAAAGGGAGAGACGTTTGTCAGTGACGTTAAACCCGGATGGCTTCCAACCTGGAGTAAACGCATCGTGTGTGTAGTCTGCCTCGTAGGTTAGCGCAAAAACGTGGTCAAAAGAGACTGAAGCTCACTGTCGTTGTATCTTCCCTCTTTTAGTCCACCATCTGCACAATGTTAGATAATTTACTGGCAAGTCGGTGCACGCATGGTTGCATACATCCAAAGTTCAACACCACCATCATGACGCAGACAAGCACGAGCAGGCTCAACTTGAACCACATTACTACCTACAACCACCTTATTAGATCGAAAGTTCTCGACTTTCTTTTCGCTCAACTCACTCGTTCAATTTTACCGTATAGCTAAGAAGAAGTAAGCGGCATGTCTCCTGTATTCTGACCATTGGCTTACCTTGACCCCAAGACAGTGCGAGAAAGTCGTCAGGGCTATGAAAGCGATATTGATAGCGGCTTCTGTGCCAGGTGAATGTGGCTTCTGATCATCTTTCAAGAGGACAGTGAGCTGTGCCGCGAGCGCAGTGAGAGTAGTCATGGCGAAGATCTTGTTGAGTCTGTAGATTTGTTAACGTGCTGCTCTTATTGAGGATGAAAAAACATACCCATATACTGATGCGATAGCAAAGCCACTAGCAGGATCCAAGAATGTGTGAGGTAGATCAATGAGAGCTCCGGTCAGCGGCCGGCATGTTACCATCTCAGTAGTAGTATACATGACACAAGCAACGATCCCTCCGGCTACTACATAGCTGATTGCAGCTCCAAGTGACCCAGTGGTAGCTATCAGCGCACCCGACGTGATGAAAACGCCTCCACCAATGCAACCGGATATCCCAATACCTGTGTTGTTATTCAACCGACCTCCACTGCTACTGGCCTACTGACTTACCTGCAAGCTGAGGCCTACTCAACACACGATCAAGATGTTCGGAATGTGTTACATAGTATGGCGATCGATCTAGCGGTCTTTGCTCCTCGTCCATATCGACTGGCATTACATTAAACAAAACTGGTATCAGACTGGTAGTATCCAAAAAATGAAACTCTTTCTTCTTTTAGTAGTTTGGTGTAAGTATTCTAGGAATCTTAGTGTGCTGCGAAAATGCAAGGGCAACACTTAGATGTAGACTGCGCCCTCTTGTGACCCGCTTCTGGGCATCTCCAGCCTAATGTACTTAGGCATGCCCTGTATCCAAGGCTGAACCCACACCGGTTTGCTTCTTATCAGCCTTGACTTCTGCTTGGAAATGATGCAGAAAACAATGACCTAGGACGGGATGACCCCTTCGACAAGAGATAGTTGGCGTTTTTGCCACCATCAAAGTCGACAACCTGGAAGCGATAGATATCGTAGTCAGATCTATGAACCACACGTAGAGATCAAAATCTAGGCAGCAAGGGTATAATCTGGCGACGAAAATATCTCATGTCCCTGCGAGCGGTAAAATAGTGGGAAGATGATCGGGGCGAAGCATCTGGCGTTTGGTGATTGGCTGAGACGATGAGCTCTTGGGGCCAAGATCAGCGAGGCTACGTCTCGACATACCGCCCTCTTACATATGTGGCGAAATGCTAGAGTACAGAGCAGGCGCATGATAGATTCCGGTACTCTGGCTGAGTAAGGAGTATTAGTACTGATCTGGACATGCAGGGGCACCCTTAGGTACGGAGCCTTCCGAACTCAACGGTGTTATCAAAGGTGTGTAGTATTCGCCCCCTCGCAGTATAGAATTAGACAGAATGAGCTCGGTTCTGAAGAAAGGCTGTCAAATGTTAGCTCAGGTGCTTCAATACAGTCGCGAGGCTACAAAATAGCATCAAGAGCGCCACGTCCAGCGTCGCGCGCTCTGCGATAACGTTCAGTAGTACAGCCACGCGTCCCACGTACTCTAAGAGTACGCTCTGGCTGCCTCATATGGCTGAACACCCTATGGGATTGTGGCTTGGCTTTATTGGTATGCATGAGTGAGACACGGCCCCCCAACCACCGAGTGTCATATCTGTCGTATGTATGCTTTTTGACGTGGTGGCGCATGCAAGACAAGATCAGGCTACAGCTATCGGAGTCAATAACCGGCGCCAGCTGACCTGTGTGACGGCTCAGACCGTCCGTTCGTTCAAAGCAACGGCATTATTGCTGCTTCACAAACATACTTTCCGTCGCTTGACGACTTATTGACTGCAAACTTCTCTCGTCATTATGATATTCTTGTTTCGTGCTCTTTGATGATGTCTATCTCAAGTAGCTCTTCGTATCCGTCTGCGCGACGCTCTTCTTCAGCTGTAGAGACTTTCCCAATATTTACAGCCTCACTTGGCAACTGTACAGAAACTCATTTGCAGAGAAGTGGACAACGTTTTCTCAGGAGAACTCACGATGTTGCGACATCGATCTCGCCATCAGGCTGGGTTGCTGCTTGCTCGGCAAAGCAGGTACGGCTATACAACGTGGGGAGCGCGAACAAAAGTCGCCAAATTCCACTTCACGTCGAGCTGAGCATACCACTTGGTAAGAAGGAGGAGATTCGAGGTGTCGCGTTAACAGAGGATTTGCTTGCTGTAATTACACATATGCAACTGTTGGTCTACGATGAATACAGCCGCGAGACACCAAATTTAGTGAAAGCCCAACGCGTCGATCAAGATGAATGCTGGATTCCAAGGTCGGTATCAATTTCGCAAAGTGGTTCCCCCTCTATTGACAGAATCGCTACTGCGAGCGTAGCAGTGGGTGGGGAAGGAGAAAGCGGCGTGAAACTGTTCAGATACAAGGTGAGATTCAACCCTACAACCCGAGCGTAAGACATACGCTAACCCGGTACCTTCACATCCACAGTACACCACAGGCTGGAACGCGGAGAACAACCGCACGACCTTGTCATGCCCGAGAAATACTGGGGCTATCAAGGTTGTCGGCTTTTCGCCTCACCGTAGCGATATCCTGTATGGTCCTATGGCCTTTGCTTTGTCGACAGGAAACCGATTATATTGCTGGAATGTGGGTCGAAGCTCGTGGCCTCGGTCGCCCACTCGTCTGGGCCCGAGTTGGTACGTCGACTGCAACTCTAGTGGTAGCGGAGGCGTGAGTAGTTCTCACACATGCTTCGATACCCAGCTGACTTTAGATAGGCTTTGCGCGATGAGATTACAAACGCGGCGTTCGTAATATCTCCAATCGGCAAACCTCACATACTCTGCACAGTAAATCATAGACCAGGATCGCATCTTCCCCCGACTTTCATCGTGCCAGTCGACACCCTCGAATATAATCCACAAAGCCTTCGCCAGCAAATGAATCCAATACCAGACAGTGTGGTTGGGTCAAGCGTTCTCGCGGGTACCGCATCTCGTAATGGCCGGTTCTTGATCGTTCTAGAAGAGAATGGGCACAACGACTACAACATGAAATTGTTGACCATTCGCGGGGCGCACACGGGCGGTTTGACTTGCTCCGCTACTGGCATGCTATCATGGGCGGTCAGGCTGCGGGTCACCAACACTCTCGCTACCAAAGTCTCGATCTTCATCCAAGAGCAGAATGCCGCACTCGAAATCATCGCAATAGATGGACAAGGACATATCGTACATTCAAGGATCAGCGTACCGGAGATGCTGCAAGACCAGCCGCGACCTCTTCCACCACTCATACATGAGGCGCCTTATGAACTTGCAGTCCCCGATTGAATGACCGATGACATCTACTTTGTCTACTATTAAACTCCAGCAAACTCAACGCCAATAAACGGTCCGAACGCTTGTCGACGTCACGATTGAGGCCGATGGGCTACTTCAGATCCAACGCAATATATTAGACGTATGATGCCATTGATATTGAAGGCTTTCCCTGAAATGATTAGCGGTCATAAGACGACAGTACGCAATCTTCAGGAGAAGAAGAAGAAGCGGGGTGGAATCGAGGGAACTACAACCAGAAGCACTCGTAAGAGCTCGCCAGTGGCGCGTCTTACCCTCAAAACTCAGCGTTTGCAATCCTTGCATCGACACCGTACTCATGAGGTCACAGAAACTCTCAATCTAGCTTAGGAAGGACGAAGGGCGAAGTTAAATGACAGTGACTAATATCTGGCTAAGCATGTTGCGTTGCTTACATCAGAGCTTAGAGCTGGGCCCTCAACTCGAGCTGATGATCCAAGAAAGATGCGATAGTGTCTTCCATCCTCTTCCACCTGATGCCTAGGATTTCCTGAGCGCGGCGTGATTCGACAGGTGGAGGCGCATCAAATGAACCTTCCAACTTTGTACCCAAGCCAGGATATTTCTCTTGTGCAAACTTTGCTATGTTGGTCCAAGACCATCCGTCCTTCTCACTAGCGCTCAGCACAAACTCCTGAACTTCGTTGTTTCCATTAAGCTTCGTCTCCAAGGCGCGCACGTGCGCAAGTGCAACGTCTCGAACATCCACTCCAACTGCGGGAATGAAGGGCTTTTCGGAGTACAGGCAGCCCCAAAGCATAGCATTAGTACCATCGACTCCGTCAGGAGATGTCTGGCTGAGGTTGCGACCAAAGACGAAGGAGGGATGTAGGGTGATGACAACGAAATGTGGTTTGTTCTCTGCAACCCATTCGAGGGTGGCTCGATGGGCTAGAAGTTTGGAGGCGTGATACTTTGCTCCTCCGCTAGCCATCGGATCCGCGGGAAATTCCATGTCGGGATCCACGGAGATCTCCTGGTTTCGTCCTTCTGCAAGAATGTGTCAGATATATGTCATCAGAACGAATGTACATAGAAAGGATAGACCATGTTCATAAAATAGAAACGTACCTCTCGGTTCAAATTTGCCTCCCGTCAGCGCATCTAGTTGGACCAAGGCAAGTATCGATGACACGATGACGACGCGTTTGATGGTGCTGAACTTCTTTGCGGCATTCAAAACCGATGTTGTACCTTGCACTGCAGGCTGGAGGTACTCCTTCTTGAAGTCTTCACCTTTACCAGGCATCGGTGAAGCGAGATGTAGGACGTAATCGACATCTTTCAAGGCACTGTCGAAAGCGCTTGAGATGGACAGATCCGGAATGACGACAAAGTCGACGTTGCTGATATGCTTGGAGAAGAGCTTCTTGAGACCTTCGATTTGAGGTTCCTTGCGCACGCTTAGGCGAACCTTGTAGCCTGCTTCGAGCGTTTGGATAACGACATGAGACCCAATGAAGCCTGTCGACCCGGTAATGAAGACAAGAGATTGAGACATGGTCAAGACAGTGGTGACGAGTGGTTCTATTGATTGTTGGAAGTGTCAGTGGTAGGTATTTGCTTTCTGTTCGAAGAACATCAAGATCCTTTTATATTCATTGTAGTTCCAAACTGTAGGGGTACATGTAGTGACTTGTTCTCTCAAATACAAAATTGTAAGCAATCTCAGCCATGCGTGTTTTGTCAGCCTACGGACGGAGTCAGGTCATAACCATGTCCGTCCCGAATGCAACAATGGCGCACACAATACGCGGCGTGATGGCGAAGCCGAGCGTAGCTGGCTAGCTAGGTGTGATGTGTGGGTTTCCTCGATTATTAAACATGATGCGCTAGCCTGATTTAGTGTTTCTTGTATGCCTGTCTTTCCGGACTAGGGACTAGCAGACCAATGATCAGGATCCTTAGCTCAATTTTTAACGCACGTAACCTGACACTATTGGGTCTGTCGTCTCGGGAGGGCATGCGGTGAGTTCTAAGGTTGATCTCTCTCAGTTCACCACCTTGGCCCCGACAACGCTAAGGACACGTAGATTTTATTGGGCTGCGGAAGGATTGCAATGATCGGCCGTAGTGCTTTAGCAGGTTTGTTACGTACGTAAGAAGCGGAGAGGCCTAGATGTTGTTAACCAATATTGATCTATATCAGAGGCATCAACCCGAATAACGACCTTCCTCACCACTGCTCAACAGTACTTCCAGCTCTACTTTCCAATCAACCTTCCCATCAACTTTCGAACCCTACCAAAATGCCACTCTGGGTCATCTACCATCCGGAAGGAACATTCGAGGACGATGCGTCCAAAGAAGCTCTCGCAGCAGACAGCATCAAGCAATACACCAACATCGGTCTTCCAGCCTTTTACGTTGTCACAAACTTCATTAAAGTGCCCAAAAACAGTATGTTCATTGGAGGCAAGCAAGTCGGCAAACAGGATACACCTTTCATCCGCGTTGTCGTCGAGCACATTGCTGTAAGGCTTCCAGACGAAGACAAAGTCTACAAGGGGGCCGCAAACGGCGTAGATGCTGTTTTGAAAAAACACTGTGGTGATAAGGGTTACAACTATGAGTTTCATATCGATGAGACGGAGAGAAGACTTTGGAAGATCAATGGAATCTTTCCACCAGCGTTCGGAAGCGAGGAAGAGAAGATATGGGTCAAGGAGAATAGAGCCGTGGATTTTGGAAAGCCCTCGTCTTTGTAGTGTAGTGATGGCAGTCTAGGTCGTTAAATGGTCGACACTTGGCTTAGCGATCTGCTGGAAGATGAAATGATGGACCTGTGACATCATGCCTTGTATTTGGTGACTTCCGTCAACCTGTTTGTGTAAAAATGGCTTATTCCATCTCTTTCTTTAGCACCACTGGCAACTCAGCTGGGTATGTGGTGCTGTAATACAATGTACTTGGTGATCGATTGATGATGGAAGTTCGTCAGCGCGATACAAGGCTTCCTGGTCAAATCTTAGTTGATGCGACGTATGATCATCTAATGCGCAGCGACCAATACGCAATAATCCAGAGTCGAGCGAGCCAACGATGACAACATCTTTCGTAGCACAATATGCGGAGTTCACAGTCCACCCATGTCAGTTAGTAATCTGCAATCCTCCACGGTAAATATCGCGCATATAAACCTAACGGCCGTAAGGATCTACTGCTGAGCGCATCTGTAATGCTTGTGACCGGATTCATAGATACAGTTCGTGGTCACTCTCTTGATGACACCATATCCCAGTGTATTGCGCAAGGCGATGTGAGGACAAGACCACAACCATGACGTCTCAAGCTCCACGCGTCGCGACAGCGCAACCCGATCTGTCCAGTGCGTACTGTGGCGTGTGCAATGATAACGTACCAAGTGCCCAGACTGATACCGGGCCAAAGAGGGCGATTTCGTTGGAGTCAATGTGCTGGGTTTCAGCGACACTGAGAAGGATTTGAAGGGAGGGATCAGTTGACAGGTCAAGTTCCGGGATCGCGCTAGCCAGATACGCTAAAGACTATTACACATTGGTGTTAGTGAAACCGCGCAACATTGCACCTTCGAAAGAAACACATCTCGTGGTGAACACCGTTCAACATTTTTATACGTCGTTTTGTTTCGAGTAGCATTGGAATCAAACTTGCGCGTCTAAAATGATCGTAAGCACGTCTGTATGGTTCGTAGTAAATGATTGCTAGCAGACCATGCTTGACGCTACCTCGGGCCTGAGCTTAACCCCCTTACTTCCATTCTCCAGCCTCGTCATTCATCCACACATTGCCTGTCTACTCTTGACTCCTTCATTTTGACTTCCACGTTCAACCTCTGCAACGTAATAGGGACCGACACCGCCCAGCTCTCCAGACAGATAAGGCGCGCGCCTGCAATAACACAATGTCGACATCCTTCTCAAATCAAGTCTTAGCAGCCTCTGACCTTCAGACCGAAGTGGCTACTGCACTGCTGGATTTCTACAACTTCCTTGCTCGACTGCCATGGCTTGAGCCATCCGACATCTTAGAGCCGCCAGCGCGAGGCTGGCCTAACATCAGCAGCGATAATTTTGCCCCACTGCACAAGAACGACACAGTGATCGAATTGCTCAAGCATCTACCATATCTTCGTATGGACGGCCCATTTGAGAGAAATACGTTAGCTTGGTCGACATATCCATGTGATTACCGACGTGACTACTTCCAGAAAGTAGGGCCTGGCATCAATTGCTGGGAGATACCGGACACAAGTGAACGCGACTATGATTTTCCGGAATGGGTTGTTGCCCTCACGTATGGGAAAGTACACGGGCAATACATCATGCTCGACACCACAGATGGTATTTACAACCAGCCCTTAGCTGACGCCTGCTTCCTTGCAGTTCTATCGATGACTGATCTTTCTCTTGTTCTACAACTAGGAACGGCGATGAGGTACCAAGTGCAAACGCTTTACGACCCAGTGTTCGGAGCCGATGACCCCCGAGCCTGGCGCAATGAATGCGCAAGTCCTGGAAGCACTGCGCGTCTCAGCGATATACTCAACGAATGGAAAAATGATTATGCGCAACTGCATTTGATCGGCCAGACCAATGGTAGGGGACCAGTGCATGCTGATGGTTCTGGCGACGAGTACAAGGTTCGGATAGACTTCCGCCTTTTTCGATGGACAGCAGGCTGACTTACCATCTTCTCTCTAGGAACTGCACGCACTGATGCTGAGTCATGGCTGGCCAGATAACTTTGATCGTGAGAGCTGTAGGAATGCTATGCTAAAGCGAGATGAAGAGAAGTTAGTGCAATACTCTAGTGAGCTCAAGAACCAACAACTAGCTTAGAACACATGGATGCGGTATTGAAACAATCTGCTGATTACTCTAGGATGAGTTCCTTCCCATATCTTTCCCATCTAACCTCACCCTACCATTTCCTTCCTTACATCTCACTGTCTACCCACCAATAGTCCGCCTATCAGGCACATGCATACCCCGTTTGCGTGTCCTTGAACGTGTTACGTGATGACACAGGGCAGGTGTATGGGATGCTTATCGATTCGAGTAGCAACTAGTCTCCGACCCTCACATCTTCGCGTTATGTACCCTTTGGCACGTGCAGTTCCTCTTCGTCGATAGCTCGCCATTGTCATGACGGATGAACATGGCACTTTGCTCCGCGGGCCCCTCGGCTAGGAAGCGGTCCATCGGATTCATGTTGCTTGCGTACGTGTTGGAGGTCGAGGACAAGACGCTGATATGGTATGAGCAGAGTGTGACGGTATCGGATGACCTCTGTTGAGGTGAGTTGGTAGCACCACTATGTATTGGTCAGTAAGATAAGGCAGTGTGGTTGTCAACGGCGAGGGTCGACTAACGACGAAACTTGTTGCTGAGGCATATTGTATGGAGAAACTGAGACTGCAACGTTGGGAGAGACAGAGATACAGGCTTGATAGTGTCAGAGATGATGGGATGACTTGAGGAGAAGAGGCAGAAGGAGAGGATGTCTTTATACATCTCGAGGGTGGAAAAGAGATGCGCGTCAAGGGCAGCTCAGACTCTGAGTTCTGGAGCAAGTCTTGGTGAAGGCCCCAGTATGCGGTCTGCATTGAGAGTGACATGGGTCATGATGTGTTAACACACTCTGGTCAGGTTGGCGGGTGTCTCGCATTATGGTCCCGCTGTCTAAAACGGCATGAGCCCAATGTTGCTCGAAAAATATTGGTCTGTCGACTTTTGTTCGTCTTGGTAGACTGCCCTTGCAGGAACGCCAGAAAATCCCAAGCCATACATTGGACAGACAACTTTTGTTTAACTTGGCATTCGGATGGTGGGCCGGGATCATGACCTGGGAATGGCTGGGGTGGATACTAAGCTTTCACAAGCTTCGCCCTGATCGACACGTATCTATCGTAATCAATGGGCTTTTCATTGTTTTATCAGGAATATGGAAAGGATGCACTTGAGGCGGGTAGTGAGGTCTGTTATTCATCGGGCGAAGGATGGCGATGCTTATCTCTTTGATTCGTGGTACTCATGATTATACAACGGTGATAACGTCGGTGATAGAGCGCCTCGAACTGCTGCGTAGGCACTGATGTGCAGTGTGCCACAGCGCGGTGGCTGACGTCGTGTTGCGTCGCGAGGCGTTTCTACGCGTCGGTGGTTAAGGGCCGGGGCGATGTCGTACGGGAGATGGGAAACTCTCATTCGCGGAAACTTGTAAGCGAAGCGTAAAGCTCTGTGCGGCCACACCCGCATCATGCCTATTGGCCAGTGAACTTTTGTTCGACTTGGTATGGCCGCCGATCGGTGTTGTTTCAGAACGGAGGACTTATTGCAGGCAACAAGGCGTCGGCACACCGTCAGCATGCGCAACGCCAAAACAACTATGCGCAGGAAACGTCGTCCTGTTGGCTGTCGAACCTTTGTTCGCCTTGGCTGTGTAACGTGTCAGGGATTCTAGACAGGGTGCCAAAATGCCATAAGAAGGGGATAGCCAGCCTGCCGCAGTGCAGCCAACTCAAGGTCTCGAAAGCCTCTCTTCCCTGACCAAGGAGCGCTCCTTACTAAACCTGTGTTATTCTTCTCAGCGCCTGACTTGAGTGTCGCACTATTACGTGTTTTGCCCTGATTAATCGGCCTGCGTTGGGAACCATGCATTCTTGGGAGGACGCAAAAGAGACTCTGGAGAAACTCTGGTTGAAGGACAAATGGAAGCTTGATGATATTGTCAAAGAACTGAGCACTAAGCACCGTTTCTACAAGGTGTAAGTCAACCATATCCCTCTCCATTGCAAGTAAAAGAGTTCACCAGCTGACTTGTCTTTCTTATAGTGAGAACCAATACAAAGCCCAATTTAAGAAATGGGGGTGGTCAAAGAACTTTAGCAAGAGCAAGATCACCACAGTTGCGAAGCATTACAAGAGTCGTGCCGCAGTCGGCAAACCCTTTACTCGAGTCTTCATTGATGGGAAGCAAGTCGAAGGTCACAAAGTAAGACGAGTAATGAAGGATCAGATGCGGGAAGCTACACGATTGATATACCTCAATCGGAACCATATTACGAACGTTGACGGACGCGTGCTGCCGTTCGCCGACAGTTTGTAAGTAACCAAATACCGGAGTTAGACGATCGTATGCTAACATCTAAGCTTCCTCAAATGGAACCTACCCTACGCTGCTATGCGTCACTCATACGTACGAACTTCCGACCATTCATCGCCTTTCGATCAGCCAACGCCTTATAGCAACATCGATGTCACCACCCCATCATCGGCTACGTCTCCGAACAACGCACCCTCACCGACAATTCAGATCACGAAAGATAACATGCTGATCGATAGAGCGTGTTTGTTTGCACAGGGTCATCATGAGAAGCTTTTGAAGCTTCTAAACGGACAAGAGAGAAGGTGAGAACGAAGTCGCGTTCTAGTCCCCAGTTAACGATATAGTAGGACCTTGTCCGACTGGCTATACCAATATTGGTTCTTTTGCTTCAAGACCGCCAAACACTGGGGCAAAGGACCAAGAATATGGACGGCGGAGCTATTGAACTTCGACCAATACCTTCCCGCTGCCCGTCCTAGTCTTCCAGGAACACCCCAGGACATGACACATCCATCCGCGTCATATAACAACGATGAACCGATGCTGCCCTCGGATCTCTGCCGGTGGTACATCCACGTGCGTCAAGCGAGATATGAGGAAATACCGGAGGAAGTATATGAGCCTCCAGCGCTTGCCCAGCCTGACTCTAGCGACGAACGTACTTGGACATCATGGTCGCCAAACGAGCAGCCAGCTTCATTGCAGGCGCATCTGCGAGATGCACTTGAACACAATGATTTCAGCCCTACCCCCGCTACGGATCTTCCTGTCGCCATCCCACAGATCGCGAAAGCTGCGGATGAGGAACGCTCGAGCGAGTTGCTCGTTGAGGCTCTTGGTTTCAGCATCATGAGTCGAAACGTTGATCAGATGGTAGAAATATCCCGACAGCTTCGTCGAAAAGGCATCGATCCAGTATCGTTGCATCCGTTTCATCTAGCAACAAGTTTCCTGGACGGCTCTAAGACTTGTTGCGATGCAATTTTCTGGCTTACAGTTATGTATAGGGGAGCCAAGACCCACGCAATGTACCTCAACGAGCACGGTCACACTATACTGGACAATCTGATGATCGCGATCATCAAGTCTCACACAAGTGCGAGGCCGGTAGATCTGGACGACAATTTCAGGGATGTCGAACGATTTGCTGGAGAAGAGGTCGATATTTGTGGCCGCTGGGATGCAGACTCTCCTTGCGTACGCCAGCTTTACGCTCGGGGCCATACATCGATACCTCCCAGCTGGAAACACAAGTTCTGCAATACTTCAATCCAGGCAATATGTCACTGCATTGACAGAATGTTCTCTCACATGCCACGACCTCTATTGCTTCAGACACCCAGTGGGTTGTACGTTCGCCGATGTTTCAGCCCTGACTGTGGCAAAAAATTGCAACTGCAACCTTTGCATAGTCTAGTGATGACGGCGTATCATCTCGCTACCCAAGGAAGAGATGGTGAAGACCTCTTTGGTATATTAGCATGCGCTCTCTGCCTTATCTCCCACAACTTCAACCCTTCCGTAAAAGCAGACATTTCAGTCGCTGCGTTGTTGTCAATTGACTCATTCGTCGAGTGCGATCACGTGGAGCTAACAGCTGCCGAGTTTGCAGAGGAGATTATGGCTCTACCAGCATTCGGAATTTGGAATACCAAAATCAAAACAGGATGGGCTGTACTGACTGGCATACTACGTCGTTGCGAGACAGCGCATGTCGCCTGGGCCCGCGAGGTAAACCTCAACCCAGAATCGCATGATTGCATCGCCGAGCGACACGACGAAGACGTGTTCATGGGATCAACGGAGCCGCATGATATGCTAGACCAAATGCATTTTGAGGATCCTCATTCTACCTGTTTCACTGGGGAAAAGAACATTGGTACATTATGGTCTTCGGTTCAAGCGGAATTCTTATCGTATCGACGTCTGAACGATGGACTTGGCTGGATGTCCCAGTATTTCTCGATGGAGAGTCTGCGAGAGAAGTTGGAGAAAGGCGAACATCTCGTGGTGGGATACACTGAGCATAATCTATTAAAAGCTCATTGTGCCTGCCATAGCTTTGGTTGTTATCCGCTGGCGTTGCTGTCCGACGCTATCGATCCTAATCTTGCAAACCTCGATGTTTGGGAAAGAGCAACGTACGGGACATTACAGGAAGACTAATAGTCTACGTTCGTAGCCAGGAGTCTAGAATCGATCAAAGTATCAAAGGTGTTCATGCTCGAAAACTTCCTCCATGAAAACTATCTCAAGTCCTTTATATCCCTCCACAGTATCAACCCCATCAATGTCTTGGCCGCCATAATACCAGTATGACAATATTCCGAACCATTTCCAATCCACCACCGATTATCCAAAAACCCCCTCACTCTTTCAAAACTCGACTTCTGATGGAGGAAGCGACTCCAAGGCTCCTGCCACGTCGTAATCCTTCCATGTAGACCCGAATCATCATTATAGTCCACATCGTATTTACCAAGCATTTCTCTCATCTTCCGGCCTGCATTGGTCGACGTCTGGGTAAGGTGACTTGTCGTTGGAGAATACCCTTGCTGGAGCAGCCAAGCTGTATACTCACGAATATCCTGATCCAGCTCCGGTAGTCTGTGGTCGCTAATGGCGGACAAATCACTCCATGACGCACCACCAATGACGACGACTTCCTCTTTCCCTCTCTTATCCTTGATCTCGCTCTTCAGCCCCTCGATCGCCCTGCTTTTCAGCGTTTCCCAGTCTCCGTCGGCATATATGGGCGTCATCCAGACGTCGTAGATGCCAAGTAGACAGTATGCCGTGTCTTCCGGCCGTGTTGTTTTTCGACCGTGCGTCCATCTGAAGCGTTCTTCTGCACTGAAGGTGCTCAAGGAGCTGCTGTCTCGGAGGGCTTTGACGGGGATCTTGGTGATTTGATGGATTTCCTTCTCAAGACTTCTCTTGCTACCAATATACGTCCCCTCGCGAGAGTAAAACACAACGGACGTTCGCGCTATCAACTCTTGCAGTGTCCAACCACGTTTGAACCACTGACTGTTTTCGAATGTCATATTTTGAATAGCTTCTCCACCTGTTGTGCATGCGACATCGCTCATGTAGACGTAGCATCGAAGTGCTTGTTTGTACCAGTGGAACATTGAGTTTAGTGCATACGACAGCTCAGACTGATCTTGTTTGTTGATGCAGCATGTGTCTATCCAGAAGTAACGAAGGCCTTCCTTGGCAGCCCGCTGCTGGCAGAATTGAAGCTTGCGAAATCCAACACGCGCAAGGTCGCTTTCGCGTATAGATCTGCGTTTACCATCCATCAGTTCTTGATACGTGATCTCGTCTCCGGCAGGACCCCATCTGTGCGAAAGGATGCCATAAAATGGCTTGTCATCTAGAGGCTCTGGAGAGATCTCTGAAGGGCGACTCGTAAGGCAGTAATCACCGTTGTCAAAGAACTGTATAAGTCGCATGTTGAAGGTGTTGTGTGCTACGGATTTTGTGGGAATATAGATGCGGGGTAGATGGATGTGTATCGCATTCAAAGTCAAAACATACCTAGACACGTATCTGCCCAAACCACACAACCCATACCAACCACAAAACCACACATACACACATACACAAGCGAACCATAATTCTGAACATATAAACAATCAAAAACTGCATTCATGAAGACTACACACTGTAGGTCCATATTCGTTACCGCCCAGCTCTGGAAAAAGGGTAAGAAAGAAAATAGGAAGAACAAGCAAAAACGCCCCCCGCTTCCTATGCCATCATATCTTCCCTTCCTATATAACCCCCCATCGTTGACCATGTCGTCAATCGTAGTGAGAAAGGAAAGGAAAAAGAAACGGGACGCCTTGCTTTTTTACTTCTTCCGTACTGGTCGTTCGTGTCGTATGTACTAACTCTACTGCCTGTCCCTCAAGTGACGAGGAACGTACTTTCCACCAGCTGGTGCTTGCGCAGCAGGTCGTTCACCCTCACCCTCACGAGGTGGTGCGCCGCCGCGAGCACCAGGAGGAACATAGCCACCGGCGTTAGCGGGGGATGCAGGCTTCCTGTCTGAACCCCATCGGTCTCCTCCACGAGCAGCCTCGTAGCGACCGCCTGTAGCAGGAGATTCGGTGCGTTCGGGACGCTCGGCACGGGCAGGAGGTGCCCGACCGCTGCCGCTAGCCTCACGTTCGCGCCATCCACCTCCAGGAGCACCTCCTTGGCGGAGAGCTGGCGGGACGTATCCACTCCTCTTGGGAGCTTCGGCCTCGGGGGCGGGAGAGGTGGCTGCAGGAGCAGGCGCTGGTGATGTGCTGGCAGGGGGAGGAGCCTGTCCAGCGGCCTTCATGGCCTCACGCTCACGCCAGCTGGGCTTGCCGCCAGGAAGGGCGATCTTTGGTGGGCCAGAAGCCGAAGAAGGCTCCGCAGCTGGCTCGCGAGAGAAGGTTCGGTCTGGAACAGCACGGGGGGCACCGGCACCAGCCTTCCGCCTGGCCAACGCCTCTTCCTCGCGTTGACGCTGGAGACGTGCTACTTCATCAGCGGCCCTGTGAAATGTTAGTGTGTGACTGGATAAGTGCAACGGGCAATACTGACGCTCGTTCTTGCTCCCTCTTTGCCTTCAATTCGGCAATATGGGCCGCCTTCTCCTCCGCAGCCTTGGCCTTGGCCTCGGCTTCTTCCCTCTCACGCTCTTCCTCCTCACGCTGGCGGCGTTCGGCCTCCTCGCGTTCCTTCTTCTCCCTGGCGATACGCTCCTTGACCTCCTTAACGCGAGCAGCCTTCTTGCTCTCAAGTTCCTTCTGTGCAATCTTCTGGCGCTTCTCGAACTCAGCCTTGCGCTGTTCCTTGACGGTCTTGACGAAAGTCTGGTAAGGAGATACCAGCCTTGACAGACGATGCTTGAGCTCGACATCTGCCTTGTGCCTCTCCTCGGACTCCTTGAGTTCCTCGGCCTTGGCCTTTTCGTACGCTGCGAGGTCTTCTTCCTGTTGCTTCTCATAGTCGGTCTTGAGGTGCTTGATCTCCTCCTTGCGGTAAGCTCGCTCCAAATGATCGATGCGCTTGCCAGCAATGCGGAGTTGTTCGCCGAGTTGGTTCTTCTCCCTCTCGAGAGCCTGAAGCTTCAAGATACGGATCCTCTGCGAGTCGAGATCGTCCAAGTCCTCAGGAAGCTCAATGTCAACCTTGGTGGTCGCCTTGAGCTCCTTGATCTGCTTCTCCATCTCCTCACGCTGAATGCGCTTCTGCTCAGCCTTGATGCGCTGGTCTGCACGTTGCTTCTGCTCTTCGGCCAGGCGGCGAGCCTCCTCATCCTTGATTTGCTGCTGGCGGATGAGTCTCTTGGTCTGCTCCTCGTTCTCCTTGGCCTGTTGAGCCTTGAGAGCAGCCTCCTTCTTTTGCGAGATGATGTCGCGGCGAGTGAGAATCTCCTGGTGCTCCTTCTCGGCGCCTTCCTTGGCACGCTCAAGAGCGGCCTCCTTGTTACGCTGGCGTTCGGAGTTGAACGAAGGGTCGACATATTGGCAAGTGACGAAGAGCGACTTGGCAAGACGGGTAAGCTGAGATCGTACAATCTCGGCCGGGGTGCTCTGGAGACGCTGCACAGAGCGGGACTCAATCTCGGCGGATCCAGCACCCGATCCAGGGTGCATAGCCTTGGCCGATGAGAAAACGTCGGAGTCGAAGGTGAGCACACCAGTGGCGTGGTCGGTGCGGATGGCGAGATCGCCCTTCTTGCAGCCGTTCATGATGAACTTCTCAATGGTACCTGCGCTGACGTGGAAAGGCTCAGGGAACTGGGCAAGGCCGAGCACAAACTCGATCTTAACAGAGTCGTAGACTTGGGACAACTGCTGGAAGAGGCGAGTGAGGATAACCTGCTGGAGCGGGCCAACGTACTTTTCCATACCCTCATCAGCACCAATTTGAGACAAGATGGGGGAGATCTTCTTGCAAATGGAGAGAGGATGGAAATCGACCTCAAGGATGTTGTAAAGATCGCGGATCTCAGGGCGGGCACGCTTGAGCAGACCCTTGCTGAGAGCATCCTTGAAGAGGATAGCACGAGTAGGAGCCTGCGACATGCCGAGCAAGTTGGTAAGGCGCGAGTTCTTGTTCTTCCTCGCCTCATCAACGTCGACAAGGGCACCGCGGGAGCGGGAAGTGCTGATGACTGGGATGGCAAGAGCGGAGAGGAGGACAAACGACGCAGCCTTGGTCATGTCGGCTTCGGTGACAGCGGGGTTGTCCTTCTTGGGGCTCTGACCCGATGCGACGGCCGCTGCGGACTGGCGGAGGAGGTTGTAGTACCGGCTGTATGCGGCGGCGTGGAAGAGGTAGTTCTCGCTGACCAAGAAGATGCGGGTGAGCTTCTCGAAGTAGTTGGCCATCATGATGTTCTTGGCTGGGCGCTTGCTCAAGGAGAGCAGGGTGTGGATGTCCTCAACACTGCGGAAGGCCTCCTGCCACAACTCGAGTTCCACGGCCACGTTCAGCTGCTGGAAGCGGGTGTCGAGGTGGCGCTGTAGGGTATCGGGGTCGGACAGGTTGATGGCGTGCATTTGGGAAGAGAACTTGGCGGCGTTCTGCAAGTGGTTGCGGAGCAGCTCGCAGAGACGGCGGAACTCGGTCTTGCGGGCATACTTGGAGCAGAACTGGAAGGCCTGGTGGGCGGTCGACTGGTACATGAGCTCCAGACGGGCGTTGTTCTTGAAGATGTCCAGGACAGTGCGGTATGTCTCCCACAGGAACTTGAGCCATGGCGTGACGATGGCACGGTCGGTGCGGTCGCGCGATTGCTCGCCGGAGACGGTGGAGAGGAGGATGGACTCGGGCGTCTCGGTAGCCTCCAGGTCGTCGACGTTCTTGTCGTCAGAGGGCTCAAGCGAGGACTGGACCTCGTCTGCCTTGGCCTGGGCCTCTGTAACCTTCTGCTCGGCGAGTTCGATGAAGCGCTTGAAGACAGTCTACAGCGTGTTAGCCCGGGGGAGTCGCCATGTTTCCCTTGGTCTGCCCTACCTCGATAGTGCCGACGTTTGTGTTCTGGGCCGTGTTCTTGTACTGGTACAGACCATCCTTGGCCAGCTTGCCCTTGCGTAGGTCGACACAGAGTTCGACGAACAGGATCATGACGGGCTCGAGCGAGGCGATGGGGCTGTTGCGGGTGCGCTTCGAGGTGACATGTTCGTGGAGCAGCTGGAGGGCAGCCTGCTGCTGCTCGACTCCGATGAGTTCTTGGGCACGTTTACTGGGCGGAGTTAGTGGGTTTGTTGCCTCTACGGCTTCATCGAGGCGGGGCGCACAGTGTGTTCTCCGGCTTGGAGTGCGGTGGAGGCGCCATGCTGGGCAAGTTGAAGTCGCGGATCCAACTACGCGAGTCGGATGGGCTTTATAGCAAGCAGGCGACACAGCGGAGGGCTTGGTGTTGGGATGTGGGTGCACGTCTCACACGGTGATGGAATCACTGCTGCAAAAAGGTTGTGGTATTGCCTTACTAAGCGAGCGTATTCCCAGTTCCCGGCTCGTTCGCGCCCGACTCCCCGCAGATGCACGCGGGCGCCAGAGGCGGCGCAGGAGACTCGAGCGGGGCGTAACATTATGTATGTAGGCGACCTCGAGCCCGACTGCTGTATTGCCAGTCGCCCTCGCGTTGCTGCGTTCCTGTTGCGTCAATTACAGGCGGCATGGAGATTGGCTGCATGTTCGGGGGGGAGTGAGGACAAAGCGCTCGTTAAACCCAATATGGCGCTATACCACAAGCGTCGGGGCCCGACGAACTGACCCATCAAGGGGAGGGCCCTCATCTTCCAACCACCTCTCCTGCTTCGCGTGCTTCACCTGTCGCCCCATCTCAGCAATCCGTCGTCAACGCCCTCGCAGCAGCCTTGCTCTCGCGCTGATACTCGGCGGCAGGCTCACCCGGCTGGCCGTCTTCGCTCCTTACTCTCCCTTCTCCCAGCTCACCCTATCCACGCCGCACGCCCGACACGCAACACTCACGTCGCACCACGACGCATCCCCCGTAATTACACCCACCACCACCATCACAACAACATCACGTCCATCGCATTCCCCTAATATACCACGCGCACCATGTCCGCCATGATGGTTCAAGCCCCTTACGAGATCCGGACCGGCGGCGACGGCAAGAGCAAGAAGCAGAGCATGGCCGAGCTCAAGCTGCGACGCCTCACCGAACTCAACCAACGCCTGCGGGAGGACCTCGAGCGCCGCAGGATACCCGTGTCCGAAGCCGCATTAGAGTACGTTTAGGACCAAGTCGCATTGATACCGCGAACAGCACGGCTAACCACGACCGGCAGTCTCATTGCATTCACGGATAAAGAGCCAAAAGACTGGATGGTACCGTCACGATGGGGAACGGTCAGTATACGCGCGCCTCTTGTTATTTGTTCGCCGCTCTAACACACACCCAGATTGACAAGCGCGACGACCCCTACGCGCCACAACAAAGCAACGGCTGCTGCATCGTAATGTAAACGACGACGAAGATGCAGATGGTCATGTCCTTTACCGGCGTTGTGCGGGGCCCTTTTGACGGCAGAGTCTGTTTTCTTTTACCCTTTAGGAGGAGGTTGATTAATACCCAAGGACCCGGTGTGGCCAAGTCTCGCGCAGTAGTCCTGGGAGCGAGGCAATCGGACGGGCCATGTACTTTTCAGCAATGTGTAAATTACTCGGATACGGAGCTCGCTGCTGTTGATGTTTGCAGCGCAGCGCGCGGGGGTTTTCAGTCTTTTCTTATAGTCGGTCACGGCGGCTTTCTAGGTTCTACAATCACGAGATAAAAGCACTCTCATAATTCATTCTCCATCACTTCTTCACTTTGGACAATGAGATATTTTCTTCAATCGGTTATCAATTCACACACGATGCATGGCTCCAGTAAATCAGTTCCTCCCTCCAACACAAACAATTGCGAGAGCCTCGATTCGAGCAGTCGAGGCGATCTGGACAGGCGGGAACTTGCTGGAAGGGGTAGGTGGCTACATGCTGCTAGGGCAAACGAGATTAACAAGGCGCATCACCATGGCGTCGCGCTCCACCGGCAAACAGCCGTAGTCAGTCGCGCTACAGCCCAATCGACCTGGCCAAAACAAAGGTTCTCTCCATCCAACCAGACACCTTCACGTGTGGCTGCAGGACGAAGCAATCACCGTCTGCTGTTTGCACGACCAGCTGACTGGTGCGCCCATGTCGAGGTAATGTATAGCGTACCAGGATGCATGTCAATAGCGAACGAATGCGACGCAGCTGGCCTGCTCGCCTACGCCTCCCCCGGCCGAATGTATGCGGGACCGCACTATTGGCCGACTAGTTCTGATGTCTACCAAAATACCGCCCATCTTTGCCTTTTGCATCCAGCCCGTGCCTAATTCATCGCTGCACCTGCGCAGACCCTGAACCGCGGCCCAGCACTGTGAATCGAGTGAATGACGAGGATATTGCGCAGTAGCTTTTGTTGCAGCTGTACTCCAGGGCACACTTCAGGTTGCTGCATGCATCCCACGCGCGCGAGTCAAGTCATCTGTGAGACTCTGGTCAACACCACGCGGCCAACATGACGACCAGAGTGAAGGCTGAACGTCAGGTGGGCGGGTCTGTGAATGCTTCGGCGGCACATGATAATAGGCTGAGGACGCGAGGCCAGGTTTTGCAAGCCGCAGTTGGCTGTAACCCGCGCTGAATTCGACGTGCGCGGGCGAACTGCCCCCCCAGTCTTATCAAATCACCGTGGGGGCCTACCACCCGGGCTCTTCTCGTGCAGTGCCTCGTCCTGACCCCGACGACACTCTCTTCAGTATTCAGTGGAGAGAGCGACGCCAGAGTCACTGCCAGCCATCTGCACTGTCGCCAAACGCGACTGCACCTTGGACGCGCACCAGAGAGAACACATGTAAAGAGACGCAGCAACCCGGTCCCAATTCCGCGTAGCCCCACCCGCGCCCATCTTCGCGACGGCAATTTTCTCTCTCCCCTCCGCCCGGGGTCCTGCGGCGACGATATGAACAGCTCGACGGCTCAGTCCTGGAGCGCTGCCGAGCATTTTCAAATGGACCCGGCCACAGAGGACTTCGCCGGCGCTGAATTCATCGACTTCGACAATCTAGACCTGCACTTCAACATTGACGGTTACAGTCACGAAGGACCCGCCTCTAATGGCAATCAACTCGCCGATCTGACCGAGTCGCTCAATGTCCACCATCTCCAGGGCCAGTATCCCCCGCAACTTCCCCAGGACCACCGCGATGGCGCCAACGGAGGCCAGCAGGTCCAGAACTTGGGTGGTCATGGCATGTCGCAGCCCACCAACAATTTCTTCGACTATGGCATGCCCGCGTACAGCCAGGCCGGAACGCCAGCTTTCACACAGACCCAGGACCAAATATATCGCCCACACCAGGGCGTCCCGCCCACGCCTAATAGCATAGAGATGCATGGCGACCCTCATCGCTATCTCACGCAATTGGACCCTCACCAGTCGCTATTCGACCAGAGATACCATATGCGCAAGGACGATGCGGTATGTCGGATTTGGAAGCTACCACAAAACCCCACTGACCCATATAGACCTTTACCCCACTAGTTTCGCCCGCAGTGACGCCCCACGACGCGCGCTTCCAGATTCCTGACTTCACCGTACCAGGAGCCTACTTCAGCCCACTCACATCACCCGCCCTGAATGCCCAGAGCCATCAGCATGCGCATCAGCAGTCGCAAAATACGACGTCTGGGAGTTCCACTGGACATTCGCCCATCGATGTGGATATGGATATGTTGGGTGAGCCTGCCATGGTTCCACAGGAGCAAGGACGGAGGAGTCTACGGAGTACCAACAAGAGGAACGCACCACGGGCAAATGCCAACGGCCGCGTACGACAGTCCCCCATTGTGAAACCTAACCGGCGAAAAGCAACCGTTTCCTCGCTCATCCCACCCAAGGAGGTCACCGAACTCATGCAGGAAGCGCGGTCAATACGTCCGTCCACCAACGGGCTGGATGTGCCAAGGACTCGTGAGAGCTCAGAGACGGACTCTATATCTCCCGAGCCTATGCTGTCTGAGATGCGACCGCCACCAAAGCCCAGTTCTTCAACAGCTTCTCCTGCTATGCTTGCCCAACGCAACAGCCAGAACGGTACTCCAGCCACTCCAGCATCCCTCATGCGGATACAACCCTCGCCCGACTTTAGTGGCTCTCAGGAAGCACCACCAATGCTGGAAGATCTTACCCTGCCAGAAGCTTCTCTAGACCGGCCGGGCCTATCAAGATTGGACACAGCGATACGGAATGAGGATGGTGACACGTCCCGTGTACGGAAAACGCCCAAGTTGAATCCTCTGAGCACACCTGGAGCCTCCATGTCAGCCAGGCCTAGCCCGATGCTAGACGCCATGTCGACCCCGACAAGCCCAGCCTTCTCCATGACCAATGGCAAGAAAGACCTGAAGCCAGCGCGCAATCCCAAGAAAAGGAACAGCGTGAGCTCGAATCTTGTCAGCCCCGCTCTAAGGCCTAAGATCTCGCCCAGCATAAAGCCTCTACTACCCGATGGTGGAAGTGGTAAGTATCTTCTTAGACCCAATTACTTTATCTAATCTGACTTTCAGCAGGCGTCACCGACAATACCCACGCCCTTCTTCTGGCATCCAAGTCAAACTACCAGAACATCCTCGATGGTACCACAGTCCCCGGCGTTGTCTATCCCACATCACTCTCCACCAACCTCACCTCCAAACGCACGTCTCACAAGATCGCCGAGCAAGGCCGCCGAAACCGCATCAACATGGCCCTCCAAGAAATGCAAGCGCTCCTCCCTTCCCCGCAGCTCGGTGCCATCCCAGACGCCAAAAGCCCTGAGACCAACGCGCAAAACTCGAACAACTCCAAGGCAGCCAAGGTGGAAAGCGCCATAGAGTACATTAAACAGCTAAAGCAAGAAGTATCCGAGCGGGATGACTTGATCAACAAAAAAGATCAAGAGATGGATGCACTGAAGAAAGAGCTCGCGGCGCTGAAGAGGACAGGGTCAGAGGCAGCGACACCCGAAGCAGCTGCCCAGCTAAAAGCTGAACCGTCTTCCAGCCCGAATACCGAGAACGAAACTTGACGAAGATTTATGGGTGATGAAACGAGTTTTTTCTTCTTTTTTCTTCCTCAATTGTTCTATACCTTGACATTTGATGCTCAGGTTTTGAGCATCTGGTCTACTTATCTATTCCCCACATGCTACGTTACGGACGGACCACTTTTTGCTTCCGTTTCAAAAACAGCAAATAGCTATAGTCGACGCAATTTACCGACGTCTCGGTTTTTGTGGCGTAGCATGAACCCGCGACGGGGCCTATGTTGCATTTATTGTAGATGCTACATTGTTTATTCGATGGTTTAATCGGATTATGGGGAGTGAGGGAAGAGTGTGGTAGTAGTAGTATGCGTAAGATGGGCATTCAATTGTTTGTTTGCTTACTTTGCTCGCGGGCTTGCTTGCCTTTTTAGGAGGTAAGCATTATATCTTGTCTCCACCTTGTTGTGGGTGGTGGGTGGTGGGTATACGAGTATTTGTTTGGACGGCAGATGCCATAGTACAACACACGAACAAAGTACATTTGAGCCAGAACCGTATAGATTATGCGGGTTCTGGGTAATATACTGAGATGTTTTCGAATGTCTTGAAATTATTCATCAATGTCTTTTTTTTTTTTTGCCATCTGCTTGAGAGCTCACTCTTGAGCAACTTGGTTGTTATTGATCAGGAGGCTGACGCTTGTCTGTGTTTGTATGAAGCCCTGGCTCTGCTGATGTGCATTCGACGGGCATCGTGTTGTTTTATCAAGATAGGAGTAATTACGGATGTTGTAGTCAAAGATATTTGAAACCATGGAATCAACAGTTTCCTATACTATCCCTTGTATATCAATATTCTTCTCTGCGTGCTAGTCGAATCTTGTACTCATCATTTAAAGTCCTCGTGTCATTATACCTAGCTCAACATATATATACTTAGAGCGAAGGTAAGATACAAAAAAAACTAAAATTATTATCTATTCTTACGCACAAGGAAATAGATAGAAATACAACGTACACATACAAAACAGCTTCGTTGACTTACCTGCTGTTAACCTCTTTTTGTAGACAAGAGAAAATTACTTAAGATAAGGTCTTGTTGTTTCTAAGTAGAAAAGTGTTCTTTACAAGGACAATTTGACAACATGATACTAAAACAATCCATCTTAATGAATAAAAATATCGTTACCTCACTCGTATTTGTCACTAAACAATTCTGCTGCTTTACTTTCTCTACCTTCTTTTCTACTCTGCTACTCAACATACAATTCCCTAACTTGCTTGACGTATATGCTTATCTGTACACCACAAGACATACGAACCTAACATAATACAGCAAAATAACAACAACACTAACAAAAGCTGTTTAAAACATAAACCCTTATCTAGTACACACCCAGCCTACACCACCTGTAGAACCAGAGTTGCTAACAATCAATCCAAACTGATGAGACTGACTGACTGACTGATTGCTTGGCAGTCAGTTCAGTGTCAGTTTAGAGCTCTCGTCTTATCAGTCAGTTCAGTTTAGAGCTCTTAAACT